AGACTGAATGAATGAAGCTGAGCTGCAAAGACTCTGAGACCAGACCAGCTGCTTGAAAGAAGCAGAAAACAGCTGAACTGCCTAGAAGTTAAGACCAACTGAGGCACTGGAAAGGACACCCTACAACCTTTTGAGCTGCCTGTAGGCTGTGCAGTGTGCTGCAGATGCTCAGGTTTGTGAGCTGTCACACCTGCTAGGATTAGTTTTGGTGGTACAGCTGTCTTTGAGTCATTTCTGTTCCTGTAAGTAACTCCTCATACAACTGAATATAAACCCCAATAAAACTCATGGTTCATTACATGAGTGAACTTTGACTTAGTGAATTAGACTTTGGTGGTATTTGTACTTTGGTCTGCTCACTATCTGAGATGAGTAGATACGTTTGTTGCATCATCCCAGGAAAGGTTTTGTCACACAACAGAAAGTCTGTGGGGCATTTTCTTAATTAGTGATTGATGTGGGAGAATTAGCCCTCTGTGGGTGGTGCCACCCCTGGGTTGGGGTCCTGGGTTAATATAGGGAAGCAGGCTGAGCAAGCCTTAAGAAGCAAGCTAGGAAGCAGCACTCCTCTATGACCTCCATAAGCTCCTGACTCCAGGTTTCTGCCCTGTTTGAGTACCTGCCCTGATTTTCTTCAATGATGGACTATGATGCCTTGACTTCCTTCAATGATGGACCATGATGTGGAAATGTAAGCCAAATAAACTCTTTCCTCCCTAACCTGCTTTTGTTCATGGTATTTCATCACAACAATTATAACCCTAACTAAGATAAGACTTTTGCTTTCTTATAATCTATGAGTCCCTCAGAAGCATCCTTTGAGTTCACAACATGGCTAACTGGCACAAGACAGCTAGCTTTCAGCTTATCTTCTTCGGACATGTCTTCTCTACAAAGCTTAATAACTTCCAAGTTTTTACTTAATAAGAAGCATGAGCATCATTTATTTGAATACTTTGAGACTATTATATGGTTATCAATTGGTCTATCAGTATTACTGAACCTCAGGGACTAGGAAACATTTCCCAACTCATTTTATGAGATTAACATTCTCTTTAAGATACTACACACAGAAAGTAGGATCTAATACCTGTTAAGAACAAACACTAAAGCCTCAATTCCTAAAAAAATATACAATATGTTGAGAAATTCTAATTTGAAATCTAACGTGCTTCAAAATCCAAACATGTATGAAGATAAAAAGAGCCCTACTTGTAGAACATTCTATACCTGATTACATGTGATGTATCACAGTCAAAACTCAGTCACAAAAAGACATTGTATAAAATTACATTCAGATATTATAATGTGGATATAAAGCATATATAAATTCTGTTTGACCTTGTATCCTACATCTACCTCAGATACTTGTAATATTCTAAAATGGAAAAACAAAAACAAGCAATGAAATTCAAAGCACTTCTAGTCACAAGTACTTCAGAGAAGGTATACATCTAAAAATGGAGTATCTGAATTGGCCTAAAATTAGAAATTTCAATATTTTTCTTAGTAACTAACAAATGCATAAACCAGTAAAGATTTTTATACTTTGTGAGGTATATTCACCATATAAATTATGGCTATCATTATATTTTCATAGACATATATACATTTTGATGTTTTTCATTCCCCAGTTATCCTCTCCTACATACGTCACCCTCCTGCTAGTCGTTTCCCTTTTCTGAAATCTGAAACTTTCTGAGCAGTGATATGATGCTCAAGAGGTTTCAGATTTTGAAGCATTTTGGAATTTTTTAAGAAGAATGCTCAACTGAAAAAAAATCTAAAAAATTATTTCAACATTCAAGGAAAAAAAAAGAAAAAGACCAAGTCTGAAATTTAAAATATTTCTAATACTAACCAACTTAGGATAAAAGACATTCAACCTTGTTATTATCAAACAGACAATATACAGGATGTATCAAAGATGAGATGTAATTTAGAATGCAAAACTAATCAATTCATCATATTAACAGACTAAAGGAACAAAGCATAAAATTATCTTAATAGATTCAGAAATAGCATCCCAATATCTATCACAGAGAAATGCTCAGAGAACTAGAAATAGAGGGAAATTTCTTAATTTGGTAAAGAATGTCCAAAAAAAAGCCTACATTATCATATTCAATAAGAAAAGACTAAATGGAGCCCTGTCTGTAGGCCCTGGTCAGCAGCAATCCCGTCCACTGGTAACGAGATTGCTTCCTTCCTTGAATCTTGCACCATCGAGACCAATGGGTTTGTGACCCATGATGATCTCAGAATTGCCCAGAGGACATGACTCTCCTCTTTTGCTCAAGGATAATGTGTGCTTGAAACTATTCAGCAGTACTCTCACGGTCTATTTAATTTTTAAAGCTCAACACCTTTCTTCATTTTGCTCCCTTTCTGTTCCCTTTAGTCCAAGTAAGGCATGTTTAGTTGGTTTAATCTCCCTTTTATCCCTAGTTTCTGAGACGAATGCTTGAATCTGTGACATAATTTCTTTAATCAAATAGTCTCACAACACTCCTGATGCACCCTCAAATAACATGCTCTTATTTTTTGCATTATGGATAAACTAACCATTTTCCAAATCTTTAAGATTTGGTTCCTTTTTTATACACACAGTGGTTTTGTTTTTGTTTCCTTCATTACACCTCTCAATGTTCTAATAACGAAGAGAAAAAAAATATATCATTCCCTTCATAGTTTAATAATCACATTAGCTAACTATTCACTTAGAAGTTCTACATTCCACAAAAAATGAAGACAGCTCAGCTAGATTTCTGCCAATTTATAAGGACTTCTGTTTAAGATATTAAAAAACATGTTGGTAGTTTTTATTACAGTCCTCACCAGAAGGAGCTTTTAAACATGTCTATAAATAATTTCTTCAAGATGAGAACATAGGATTTTTCTAACACGTGCCTTGAAATTCTTTCAACTGTTACACAGTTCTAATGACAGTTTTAAGTGTTACTACTGCAACAAGTCACTTTCTTGGTACCAAAATCTGCAGGAGACTGCCAGGGCTACCATAACAAAAAAAATCACAGAATCAATGGTTAAAACTACAGTAAGTATTTTCTTACAATTCTGGAGGCAGGAAGGTCAAGATTAAGGTATTATAAAACAAGTTTTTCAAAGCATCTACATTTAGCCTGCAAAGAGCCTTCTTGCTGCATTCTTAGTTGGCCTTTGCTGTGTGCACATGTATTCTGGTGTCTCTTTTTATTCCTAATTTCCTTTTGTGAAGCCACTAATCAGTCCCAAATTAGGGCCTATCCTAATGGTCTTATTTTAACTTAATCACTGTTTTAAAGTCCCTACTTCCAAAGCAGTCACAATTTAAGATATAGATGTAGGGGTTAAGGTTCCATATATGAATTCAGAGGGAAAACAATCAGGGCCCAAACAGTATGTATAAACCTAGCAAAACATATGTAGTATATACTTGTTTAAGTTATAACCTTCCCCCCAAACCACTAAAATGACATACTGGAGAAATATACTTTTAGAGTGAATTGGAAGACATAGTAGTGCTAAGATTTCAATTCTCAATAATATTATTTAGTAAATAATACTATCCTTACCAAACTCATCAAGACTTAGATGGAAATTGACAACTTGATTATAAAATTATCAAAGCTATTTTAAAAAAATGGAAAATTTACCCTGCCTATTTAAAGTACTTACTATGAAACTATTTGTATAATTATGACAGATTTCTACTGGAAAAAAAAGATATAAATGCAAAAGGTAGACAGCAGTCACTGAAAAAGAAAAGAAACAGACACAAGCATATATAATCAGCTCAGGAGGAAAATATATATAAAAAATGAAACTGATATAATTAAACAGATGTAAAACTAGACTGAAGATGTTAAAAGATTACATTCAAATATTAATGTAAAATTCACATACACTTATAAAGTAACTCTAAGACTACTGCGTTTTTAGAATGAAACACAGGGAAAAAATCTATTTCATTATTAGGCGAAGGTTTCAGAGATATCACATTTAAAAACTTTATCCAAAAAGAAAATAATAAATATTACTTCATCAAAATTCAAAACACATGCTCTTCAACAGAGTTAATAAAACAGAAAGCTCAACAGCAAAGCAGAAAAAACACTGTAAAACACTAAAGTGGTCAGGAATAACAGGACAGTATATCAGCAGTTCACTATCAAATGGATTAGAGAATGGGGATTCCACAAACTTGTTTTGCTATTTTTTTCAAATTGTAAATTATTTAAAAAGTAGAAAATTTAATGATTTACAAATAACCCAAGAGTGTGGAAATAAAAAAATTAGATATTTCCTTTCTTAAAGTATTTTAGGAAGAGAAAAATCATATAATAGTCAAGAAATCAAAGGTATGAGAAAATAGCTATATATAAATAAAAATTCATAATAAAAATAAATTTACATGTGCACTAAAATTCAAATGTGAAAAAGTAATTCCAAATGAACAATAAATTTCCATAATTAGAAAGCCATAATATGTACATATATTTGACAATAATAACAGTTCAAAAAAGTGAAATTCAAGCAGTCAATAAACTTAGGCAAACATATCCTTTAAACAACACAAATTAAATCCAAAAGGGAATATTTTCATAGAGTAAAATATTAAGAATGGCTAACACTCAGGACAATTTAGAGCAGAGAAAGACTCATTCACTGTTAATAAATTAATACTCATGAGAGGAAAGTTGACAAAATTCATCAAAATTTAAAAATTACAATACTTTTCCTCAACAACTCCAGTTAGGAATTTATCTAATGGACAGAGGTATAACCTAATACTTGTACAAGTAAGTTCAAAGTAGTGGTTTTCCCCATAATTTTAAATACTCATAATGTAAATGGGCATCACGGAGATGTTAGGTAAAAGACGCAATTCTGCTAAAAATTAAAATGTCTGTAAGTAATTTCACCTGTGGTAATTTCATCTACTACTTTGAAATCTATTTTCCAATTTAATATTTCATTAATTGTAAAAAAGACTTTACCTGGAATGATTTGGCAGGGGCAGGTAGATCAGTTATGGGTTTAGGTTTTGGAATGCTTTCAAACAATTCCATAATCCCTTGAAATTTTTTATCCGAGATTCGTAACGAAACAAGAGGTAATTTTCCAGAAACCTTGAATCTATTTTGTAGAGACAGGAATCATTACAGAGCATATGGAGTATACAGAATATATAGATCAATTTTCATTTTGGTTTAAGTACACTACTTAACAAAGAATGGGAACTGGGGAGGTGACTCAGTGACAGAAGGCTTGCTGAGCAATGCTTAGCACCTACCCCATCCCTAAATCAAAACAAAACAAACATAAAGACGAGTAGATGGAAACCCTTAAATTCAACTAATAGTGAAAATAAAAATTTAAAACCACAAATGACATCTTACCTTATAAACCCTAGATGGACCAGCCCTAATACTTTCAGAGGCCTATTTTCCAGTATTACTTCATTTATTGTTTCTCTAGTGTTTGCCAAACAGATGATAATATTAATTATCAGTTATTTATTATGTGACTATCATTACAGTATGTATATGCCATCTTTGTGTACTCATCCTGGCTTCCACACACGTGTATGCCCACATGTACAAACATTCATGTGCATACACACTCACACAAGAATTTTTTAAAAGGTCTGATCCTCACACAGAATGTTTTAACTCATTGGTTTTATCCAAATTTTTCCCTAAAATTGATTTTTTTCAAATTATACACTTTGGTTGTCAAACATTGGTTTCTAAAAATGTCCCTGAATTCCTTCAGAGAAGTCCTAAGTTTTATTTTTAATAACCTAAGTATTTGTATTCATTTCCATACACTGTGGTTTAACTTAATTACATAGCTGCAGATCAATTCAATTGATGCATCAAAACCTTTTCCTTTCTTAAATATGCAAGATGCACAATGTGAAGAGACTAGGCATCAAAATGTTATCTACTACATAGCATGCTTCCGTTTATTGTCTTAAATCTGTCTAGTTAACCATCACAGTACAGGTAACTGCATGGACAAATATAAAAAAGGGTTATGATTTGGGCTTTGACTACTTTTCATTTTCTACAGAAATTAAGACATAAAAATAAGTCTATGTTAATTGGTGCAGAAAAAGTAGATATTGCTCGTAAATGAGACTAACATGGTACCATTTTAAGAAAATGGTAAAATGTTTAAGATATTATATTTAATCTCTATGATAACAAAATAAAACATTCGCAAAGTATACAAAAACGGTAATGAGAAAGTAATCAAAACTGTTGGAACAAATATCTACCAAACACAAAGAAAGGCCATCAGAGGAAACGAGAGAAAACAAGCTATAAAACATACAGAAAACAAACTAACAAGTCCTGCCATATCAGTGTGTAGATAAAAGTGTTTTAAACTTCTCAAAAGACATCAGTTGACAGAATTGATAAAAAAACAAGATCCAACTATATGCTATCATGACAGAAGATTCACTTTAAAAAAAATATTTATGTCAAAAGGTAAGTATTAAAATAGATATCCTAAACAATCAACATGAGAGGGATGCCTGCAGTAAAAAAGATTACAAGTCAAAAACTATTACTGAAGATTTTGAAAAGAATGCTTTCTAATGAAATAAAAGGACAAATTTAACAAAAATATGTTAACAATTAAGAACATATACATACCAAACATCAGAGTTTAGTGAATTAAATACTGAAAGAACTAAGGGGAAGAAAGAGACTTTTAGCAATAGTAGTAAACTTCCACTCTACTTTCAAGAATGGATAGAACCAGGCAGGAATCAATAAAAATTCTGCTTTTAAAAGAGGACTAGGCTGGGCGGTGGTGGCGCATTCCTTTAATCCCAGCACTCAGGAGGCAGAGGCAGGCGGATCTCTGTGAGTTCGAGGCTAGCCTGGTCTCCAAAGTGAGTTCCAGGAAAAGCGCAAAGCTACACAGAGAAACTCTGTCTCTAAAAACCAAAAAAAAAAAAAAAAAAGGACTAGAAAACATTATTCATCATATATTTCATAGATGAACCCTAAGTAGACTGTGAGTGAAGTAATATAGATAAGAAAGGACAAATATTAAATGATTTTACTTCTATCCAGTACCTAAAACCATCAAATTCATAAAGATAAACTGTAAAGGGGGTTTGGTAGCAAGGGGCAAAAGGCAGAGTAGAATGGAATGTTATTATTTAGTGAGTATGAAATTCAGTTTGGAAGATTGTTAAAGTTCTAGAGATAGATGGTGATGATGGCTGAATTTACTAAGACACCACTGAACTACTTATTAAAAATGGCATCAGTGGCAAACGGTATATGTATAGATGTAATAAACTCAATGAATTATAGCATTTCTTTCATTACAGACTTACTGAGAAAATCTACAATTACGTTAAAAGGATAATATGTAATACATACTTGGGCATCTTGACATCCATGAAAACCATGGCTTTAGAGAGTTCTATATTGACATGCATAGGTGTCAAAATATGCTGTGTAGATACATTGAGCCTTCGAGCTTCTTTCCAATTATCACCTAATCACAGAAAGAGTTCATGTTTATTATTAGCATAATCTTTATAACATACAAATCCTAAAATTATCTAAAGGACATATATATCTAAAGTCTTTACATTTCCATTCTTTTTTCTCAAAGCTGCTTTACAATACAATGTTCTATTACAAAAGAAAAAGGCCTGTTTTTTAAAAGGCAGCATAGTTTATGCCAAGCAGATATTCTACCACCAAAACAATGTCACTATAAGGCAATGAAAAGGGCAGATAAATGTAAGTGCATTTGATAATTACTAATAAATGCCATCATTTATTCAAGATTTTTAATTAGCACTGTTCTAGGCAATGTTTAAACTTTAATTCTCCCGGGGATTGTAATTATTACATTTTAGAAAACAAGATCAAAACTTTCCTATAGTCAAAATGCTAAGGCAAAAGCTGAAATTCATACCTAGACCTACAAAACATATGACCTGAAACATTCACTGCAATGTTAACAGTCACATGTGAGTGAGTGAATAGTTAATTTAGAGCCTTTGATGTAAATGCAGCCAGTCTAGGGAGATAACTCATTTTGTAAAGCTTGCCCATTAAGGATGAGTTTGGTTCCCAGTACCCACTTAAAAAAACAAAACAAAGCCGGGCGGTGGTGGCGCACGCCTTTAATCCCAGCACTCGGGAGGCAGAGCCAGGCGGATCTCTGTGAGTTCGAGGCCAGCCTGGGCTACCACGTGAGTCCCAGGAAAGGCGCAAAGCTACACAGAGAAACCCTGTCTCGAAAAACCAAAAAAAAAAAACAAAAAAAAAACAAAAAAAAGACAGGCATGGTGGTTCATGCTTGAAATCCCAGCCCTAGGAAGGTGGCAATGGACAGATCTTTAGAGTTCACCAATGAGCCATCTTAGCCTAATGAGCAAGTGTCTGCACCACCACCACCACCACCACCACCACCACCACCACCACCACCACCACCACCACCACCACCACCACCACCACCACCACCACCACCCACACACACACACACACACACACACACACACACACACACACATACACACATCTAGTTTTAGCTGGATGGACTGGGTAACAAAATTTTCTGGTTTCAAACCAGGAAAACGCTAGTAGTCGTTTTTTGTTTAGTTAGTAGTCAATATTTGTTTTTGTATTTAAATAAAATCATTTGTAATTAACTTACAAAGAAATCACTCACTAAATTACTCAGCTAGAGTAATCAATCACTCAGCTAGATTAACACAGCCAATCAAACACACATACTCAGTCATATATCTCAATGAATGGCTATTCTGAAGCAGTGGGATTGTGCTTAAGGTGTCACACTTTCACAATCAACTATCTTTCATTCACTATGCAATATTAACTGTTAATTTTAACTCAAATACAGGAAGCAATCACGTAGAGGGAAAGTCTTCAGGCATATCTTCAGAGTATCTAAAAAACCTACTTAATCACTAGTTAAAAAAAAAATCATCATTACATCTCTTGTACTTACCCACTCTACTGTAAAGCAACTGTATGCTTGTAAGCTGAATATCAAAAGAATCATAAGCTCTATGCATTATCTCTTCAAGGCTGGCCCCACTTAGTTTCATTTCTGGTAATCTTGATCGACTTTTACTTGTCACCTTAAAGTTAATTTTAATAGTTTAGACCATGTAAAGTACTTCAAAATGAAATTACTGCTTAGCTCTCTAACATAAAAATTTAATAGGACAGGATAAATTCACAGACGGACATATACAGCTATTAAAAAGATCCTTATCCATGAGACGTACAAACAAAGATAGGTATAAGATGACATTCATATGGTGAGTTATATTTTTTATTTATATCAAAAGAGGGGAACCAAGATAGTCCTAGAAAATAATACATCTTTACAAAAACTTAAAATCTAAAGAAAACTCATTAGGAACAAGACCATGAGAAAAGTGTGGCTGTTTTTATTGTCTAATAGCAGATTTTTAGTAGCTATGTAATAAAAGAACAGGGCTTATTATCTCTGTCTGTTATGTAGCTCCAAGCATGCCATATTTTTTTTTATCTCCCCTTTCATGGAATACTGTGCACACTATTTTTTTCTTAAATATTCCAGCGATCACTCCAAAGCAGTATACAATTTTTTTTAAATGTAAATACATGCATACATATATATAAACATTTTTTTACTTTGTTTCATATAGCTCATAGGGAGTAGACTGTCAAAAATGATTATCTCACCAGGTATAGTGGCATATGCCTTTAATTCCAGCACTCAGGAGAGCAGAAGCAGACAGATCTCTTTGAGATAGAGGCTAGCCTGGTCTACACAGTAAGTTCTAGGCTACAAGGGCTACGTAGTGAGACGTTATCTCAAAAACAAACATAAAAATAAAAAGATTGGAGCTGGAGAAATGACTCAGTAGTTAATAGCACTGACTGTTCTTCCAAAGGACATGGGTTTGATTCCTAGAACCCATGTGGCAGCTCACAATCCCTTCCAATACCTCCTTTTGGCCTATGTAGGCACCAAGCGCTTAAATAGTGAGCAGATATATAATGCAGGCAAAATACCCATACACATAAAATTATAAATAATTTTAAAATATTTTAAAAATATTATCTCTATAACGTAATAAATTTTAGATAACAGGTAAAACAAATTAGCTAATGTCACAAAATTAAATATTTAAAACTCTTGATCCTTATATTCTTAAATTGTCTTTGAAATAATTTCATGATAAAAATCAAATTATATATCTATAATATAAATATATACCAAGTGCAATGTAACAGGAAAAGAACCAAGTTCTTAGGTATCCAAAGCTATCTGCAGACTTCTGGAGGTATTCTACATTTAATGGCTGTGAGCAGCAGAATGGTAATGATGATAAAAACACTTTGCATCTGGACTGTCCATCACAGCAGCCACTAACCAGCTCTGACTAGTACTTAAGCACTTAACAAAAGTTGAATTCATTTTTAATTAATTTTTCTTTAATAATTACATGACACTAATGGGTACTATACTGAATGGTTTAGATGTAGAAATCTAAAAAGAATGTTTCTACTCAACTTATATATGTAAAAACTTCAGAAAGATTACTTCCAAAACTGTCCCCATTCTGTACACTTAATCAAATAAGATTTAAATTGAAGAATAAAACACTTGAGTATGGCAAACAAGTCTATAAATACAATTCTTAACATCTACCACTGGCTTTTAGGTTAAAATGAAAATTTGGATTTTGAAAATACAGTGAGGAAAAAGAACTACCTGATGAAATGAAACTTTATTCACTAACCACAAGGATTGTTTCTCAAATCCTTGTACTGCTATATATTTAAACATCAATAAACCAAATTGAACTATCTAAAAATCAGTGCATATTCTCGGGCTGGAAAGACAGCTCCACAGTTAAGAGCACTTGCTGCTCTTGCAGAGGACCTGAGTTCAGCTCCCAGTACCCACATGGTGGCTCACAACAACCTGTAACTCTAGCTCAAGGAGATCTGGGACCCGCTTCTGGCCTCCTTAAGCAGTGCACGCATCTGGTATATATAACTACATACATGCAGAAAAACACTCACACATGAAAAATATATAAATCTTAATAAAATCAAGGTACATTTTAAACAAAAGAATATCACAAATGACATATCAATCAAACATTATTAGTGTATACCTTTAAATGACCAAGATCCAAGAGAAGTAGATTTGATGTAGGGCTAAAATTCCCATATTGTGGGACAATAACATAGGAAGCCTTCACATTAATTCTGAGATCAAGAACTTTCTGTGTTTCAATAATATACAGCAAACCTGCAAAAAGATTAAAGTCTTGCAATGAGTACGTTTCACAACTTACTTTATGAAAATAAAGCAGAGAATCAACAAACATGAATTGATAATGCAATTTAAAATTCCATAAAGTCAGTACCGATTTTAACACACCTTAGAGAAAAGCCAGGTGCGGTGGCACACACCTTTATTGGGGCAATTGAGGCTGATCTCTGTGAGTTCAGGGACAGCCTGATCTACAAGTTTGGTTCTCAACCATCCAGGGCTACACAGTGAGACCCAGTGTCAAAAAACAAAAAATACAAACCAAAAATACCCTAGAGCAAAGAATTTACAATATAAGTTTACATCTTTTACTGGTCAATATACACACAAAACTAATTAAAGAACAGGATTAATAACCCCCCCCCCAAAAAAATAAATGGGGTCTTTGGGGAGGGAGTTTAAAAATCTTTTATTTTTACTTATGTTTATATGTCAGTGTGAATATGTGCCTGCAAGGTCCCCATGGAGACAAGAAAAGGATGCTGGATTTCTTGTAGCTAGAGTCTCAAGTGGTGCTGGAAACTGAATTCGAGTCCTCTAGAAGACCATAAAATGCTCTTAATCCTCTGAGCCACTGGGATGGGGATGGGTGCATAGCATGTTGGTTGAAGAGGTTAGAGGACCATTTCTGCTACTGATCCACAGACAACTTCCACTTTTGAGGCAAGGTCTCTTACTGGCCTGTATCATGACCAGGTAGGCTAGGTTAGTTTCCAAGGGGCCATCTTTTTCCCCCACCCCATCTCACTATTGCTGTGATTACAGGGGTACACAATCACATCTGGCTTTTTAAATGGGTTTTGGGTATCCAACACATGTCCTCATGCTTGTGAAGTAAGTGTTATCAACTGATTCACATCTACAACCACCAAAAAAAAAAAAAAAAATGTTTTTAAACCAGATAGTTAATTTAGGTGAAATGAAAGGAAAAATACAAACCTTTTAAAAATACATTAATAATAAATGGTAGAAAGCGTTTACTTGTATCTGCTATTAGAATTTGTGTAACTTCTTCACAATTCACAAATCTAATAACATCTATTCCTACCATACTAAACAGCGATACAAAGCCTAATTTTATGACAAGCGAAAACACCTCAGTCATTAATTCACCTTCCGCAAAATCACATGTAAACCAGGAAAGGCAACAAACCCAGTTTCTCTATTACTTAGATATTTCATTCACTTAGGCCATCATATGCTAATAAATTTAATTCATTCCTATGCATATAATTAGCATACTAAATTCATCTAATTTATTTTTCTAAGTCCAGTATCATATTGTAAGCCTAATTATCTATATTCTATCTACAAACAGTCATTAAGTCAGCTTAAGCAAATAAAAGACACTCCGATCTATAACAATTTAGGATATAATAGCTGGGTAGAAAGATACCTAGCTCCACAAAGACAAAAACAACAAAAGAATTATTTAACCAGTGTCGTATTTAGCATTTCTGTTGCTATAATAAAACACCATGAACAAAGGCAACTTGGTGAGGAAAGGGTTTATTTTTTTTATCAAAGTCCATCATGAAAGAAAGTCAGGGCAGGAACCAAAGCAGAGGTCATGGAGGACTGGTTTGCTCTTCATGGATAGCTCAGCTTTCTTTCTTATAGCACCCAGGACCACCTGCCAAAGGGTGGCACAATCCACAGTGAGCTAGGCCCTCCCACACAAATCACCAAACAAGAAAATACCCCACAGACGTACCTCTAGGCCAATCTTATGGAGGCATTTTCTCAATCAAGAGTCCCTCTTCCTAGATATGTCTCTACTAATGTGTCAAGTTAACATAAAACTAGCCAGCACAACCAGATTTTTCACCTTAATTATAATGAAAAATAATATAATGAAAAGGATAGTGCATGCGTAAGTCCTGCTACACAGGTCAAGAGCAGACGTAATTTCTTTTTGTCAGATTATGCCTAGGTTAGGAAATATCACCAGAATGTGAGATGAGAAGAAAAGTCATTAATGTCTTACAACTTTTATAAAGAACTGATTCGGAAAGTTCAATACTTGAAGAGCTCACATTTCTATTTGGAACTCCTTTATTTCCTATTATTATGACCTACTTCTTTCGTTTCTCAAACGTAAATCCTCCAAAGAAATAATTTAATGTTTTGTAATGCCATATTAATTTATTATTATGAAGGTTTAAAGTAGAAAGTGCATAAATGTAGGAATATCTAGTATACTTATTCAGCATACTTAGTATAATTTTTAAGACTAAGGATTTATTAAGAATGTATGTTTGAAATAAAGTCAGTCCCTTTAATAATTAAGTATGTATTATATATACAATGACAGAGAAAAATAAAGCTTAAAAACCAGATACCCAGTATCAAATACAGCAATCATTAGCTTGATATGCATGTGAAAGAAAAAGAGAATATTAAATTGATAATAATTTTCTAGTTGTGGTGGTGCACTTATAATTCCCGCACTTGGGAGACTGAGAATGAAGGATAGTTTTAGGCTCATGCTACACAGTAAGATTTTGTCTCAAAATAATAGTAATGATGATAAACACTGTTTAAAATATATACTTATATATGTATAGAATAAGTAGCCTATATTGGCTACTTATTTTCCTGAAAATGTGAGAAAGAAATATAAAAACTGTCATTTTAAAGAAATTCCAAAGGTCTTCTCTAGGCAAGTGATACAAGACTGCTTAATAGAAAGAAGAAAGGGTCTTAGCACTTCCAATAACCTATCTAAAGCAGATTCAGGTAAAAAGTTCTTCAAATGGTAAGAAAAGGGGAAGTGAAGGCCAGGAACAACTGCAGAGTAATAGATCAAAGAATTCTGACAATCATCCAATAAACTTGGGACATAGTAGAGGAACAGACTCAAAACATAGTTCTTCACATTTCCCCCAATCATTTCCCAAGTTAGAATATTCCAAGGTTGACCACTGTCTCAAAGGCTCTTTAAGCTAGGTGGACCATGAATATAAAGCTATGTGGTCTTCACACTACTTCAGTGAGACATTCTCTAGTCCTGATTCTAAAACTAAATCAGGCTAACCAACAATCTCAATGCTCTGACAGCATTTGGGTCTGTTAATGATCTGTTTCCTACCTCGGCTGGCTCCAAATTCATCCACTTGCTTGCTTTATAAAGGTGGATCTGAAGATTGTAAATGTTTTTCCTTAGCACTGAAGACAAAACAAGGACACCGCACCACAGGAGGAAAGGGTATCACTTCCTGGGTGTTCTCTCAGCAACAGTGAGGCTTTCTCCAATGTTAGACCAGGCAGGACAGGAGGACCAAAGTACTTTAGAGCCAGCACCTTTCTTCAGAACCTCCTCAGGTAGTTTTGGATAAAATACACGTAATGAGACTTTGTCTCAAGAACGCCTTTCCCATACCTGAGGAAAGATTTCCAGAAAGTTTTGCCAACGTGAAACCACAATGCCATTTAGTAAGTCACACCTGTTGCCTTCTCCAATAAGGACTGGACTTGAGTCTTTGGAAAGATGGATTCCTAGTGAACAGTATCTCAGTTGTAATATTCTTTGTAAGTGCTCTTCCTGTCACCTTCAAAGTTACGTTTTAAGTGAGTATGACAATCCCTCATTATGGCTAAAAATTCATTACACAAACATCATCTGTTCAAATTACTCTTCAGCTTCTGTCTACGGAATGGAGTAGATACATTTCAGTTTTATATCTGGCATAAGTATGGGATTGTGAAGTTGATTAAAACTAAGAATTATATCGGCCACACTTGGCATGGACTCCAGTAGGCGATTTCCACTCTCCTTCCTGTCCTCTACTACAATCTCCCATCTCCTCCTCAGACCTGTAGCAGACTGCTGCTCATCCAGGCCTCTCTTCCCTAACTACAATCCCTGAGGACTTCTCCAAACCTTGCTGTGGATTCAGCTTTCCTTGCTCCCTCATCGCTTTGTGTCAGCCATCTGTATTTAGATATATACTCTCTGCCACACACCCACAGTGGCCACATCTGGCAGGGATGCACCTAAGTGAATCACACTATCCTTCCTGTCCTTCATCTTCAGCATCACCCTCAGCCAAATAACAACTTCTTACAGGGACCTTTCCTCCAACCTAAATTCCATTTACTGAAGACTCCAACTCTTGGGTCATACCCAGGGTCCCCCAGCTCTATCATCCCTGTCTCTCAAGACAACCTACTGACAGAACCCCCTCTTCCCATCACACCTCCAGTTTCATGGGAACCCTACTTTAAGGTGTGAAAAAATTCCCCTTAGCTCTTTCCTGATGCTCCGCCAGCCTTTTCTACTAGCAGACCTCTATTCCTCTCTGCCACCCACTGACCTGAGAAAGCACCCTTTATCAGGCAACATACAGCCATCACACATTCCTAAGATCCAGAGAGGGCAACAGAAATCAAGGAATGGAACAACCACCTAATAAAGACAAAACAAGATTCAACACCTAAAATCACCTCAGTTGTCACAAAACCAGATGCCTAGACACTAGTACAAAAACACAGTAATGGCCAAGACAACGTATCTCTAATCAGAACTCTGAGAAATGTAGTATAGCTGAAGAATAAGACAGAATTGAAAATAGCAATTATGAATATGTTCCAAGGGCTTTAAAGAGCAATATGAATAAATCCATTAATGAAACCTGTGAAAACACAAAGAGTAGAATGAAATATGAAAACAGTTCAAGACATGATAGTATAAATAGAATCACTACAGAAAACTCAGACTGACATGAAAATTAATAGAGGCAAATGCAACAAAAACTAATACAGAAGAAAATGAAGGGGAAAAAAGAAAATAACCAAAGAGATAAGAGTTATCAGTCCAGTCCAAAATAAGTTCATTTTAGTTTTCTAAAAAATAAAAAAATATATTAAATGTTAAAAATTAATTTAAGAATACTAGTAGCTTTCCAACTTCAAAAATATTTTCATAATTGTTTCTAAAAGAAGGACTCATTCTGTAGTCTTTACTGGCTTGGAATTTGGATGTAAACACTAGGCTGTGATCTAACTTACAGAGATCAGCCTGAATACTGAATATTTTTATTCTAAATAACAAATGCCTCTACTAGTATAGCAAAGGAAAAACAAGCTTCAAATTATAAGGGTAAAATGCAGGAGACTTACGTTTTCCAAAATACATTTTTATAATATTTGAATTTTATACAGCAGACATTTACTGTTTTAGTACTTTCTGTTGAGTAATAAGACTTAGGAAAAATGTCTTGAAGATAAAAAAATCTAAATCTGACTGGCTACTGGATTTAAATACAATGAATTCACATTTACTTGTAAGTATCTATCTGTCTGTCTCTACATAATAAGAGGAATAGACTGAAAAAGAGGCTTTACTTAATACTTTGTTTTGGGCTTCTACTGCATATGCTACTACATGAGCTGGAACAGAATTCAGGAATTTGAACCATGAATGGAATCTGAGATTGTAAGAAAGAGTAGAAGAATAAGCACAAATAAATAATAAGTAAACATGAAAATGTATTAGCAAATTCAAACCAAAAAATACCTTATAAATACATAATGACACCTTTTATTCTCCTTGAGAATAGAAGAAGATAGGACTTTTATTTCTCAACCTAATCTACCAAACTCTGGAATACATTGTAAAAGAATGAAAACAGGAAGCCTATTACTTAAAAAGAGATCTAAATAACTAAATGAAAATTTTTCAATTAACTTAAATATGATTATTAAATATAAGCTGTGTAAAAAAATTATTATTGTTCTATCTACCTGGCAAAAGCACCAGATTAGTTTCTACTACACTATATCCAGTCTAGAAATACATTTAAAGTACAATTTTAATATTTTATTTAATCCACAAATTACTTTACCTGTTGCTGTTTTATCTCGAAATTCTTCAAGTTTTGTCAAAGTTGCTGAAGTAAGCTGTTCTAGGTGGACATCTTTTGGAGGTCTGAAGAACTCCACTATACTATTGACTGTCCTCTGTTAAAATAAGCACCACTGGCATAAAACACAAACTCAAAGCAAATGAAAACACACTTAAACTTAGTAATACAGAAAATGCTTACTGCATCATAAATTATCTCTAAAGGTTCAGCCTCTATGATGCACCTCTGAGCAACGGTTTCATCTAAAGGATTTGTTTCAAATGTAATCTGGAAGAGTGACATATCATCCAATGAAGACAGTAGGTGGGGTTTTTTCGAATTATCTGGTAAACCAGTAATATGAAATGAATCAATCTTGGTTTCAAATCTGTATAAAAGAAAAGAAGAGAAGTTAGGAATCAATATAATTTTAAATAATTTGTTAGACTGGACAATTATAAAACATAGTAAAGACATTTTTCTTTGCATTTCCTATAACTCAGATCATTTAAGAGAAAAATATATAATTCCTATGAATTTTAATGGATTACTTCACTAAGAGCCATATTCATGCTAAATTTTATATTAAAATGCTATGATAGCTGGTATTTGGTATCTGCACTTGAAGAGGGGCATATAACCTAAATTTAAAGAGGTAACATTATAAAATACTTATAGGAATATATAAGAGATTCATTGTACCCTTGGTTAAGCAAAACTTCTTGGATATACTAAAATGCATACATAACAAACTAAGTCCAAGTAAATCAAAGTAGGTCAAAATTTAAAAAAAAATTGCTACAAGAGATATAATAAAAAGAAACTGTACCAAATAGAAAAAAAATGAGATTATTTTACCTGTAAGGGTAAGGGTGTAGCTGAGTGGTTACAAAACTTGCCTACAATGTGAAGTACCCTGGGTTCAATCCTTAGCACCCCCAAACCCATACATACATGTATACATACCTATACACATATATACATACATACACACATATACATACATACATATATAAAATCTTGGGGAAAGGCTATAGTTTAGGTGTAAATACTTGCCGAGCATAAACATAGCCTTGAATTTGATCCCCACCAGAGAGAGAAAGATGAAAAAAGATATATAACAAGAATGCATAAAGAACTGTTAAGAACGCCAATCAAGACATATCAAATAAAAAGGGAGAGAAAGCTTAAAGGTCATTTCTCCAAACAAGGTATGAACATGAACATAAAATGGACAAATACAGAAAAAATTCTAATGCTGGGGGATGTCTTTCTGTATGCTGTGAATATATGTTGTTTCCATTGGTTAATAAATAAGCTGCTTTGGCCTATGGCAAGGCAGCCTAGAAGCAGGCGGGAAATCCAAGGAGAGAGAGACACAGAAAGAGAAAGGCGGAGTCTGAAGAGACATCAGTCACTACTGAAGAAGAAGCAAGATGCCAGCAGACCAGTAACACCACGGCAATGAGGCAAAACACAGATTAAAAATGGGTTCATTTAAGATGAAAGAGCTAGCTAGCAAGAAGCCTGCCATAGGCCATACAGTTTGTAAATAATATTAAGCCTCTGAATGATTATAAGTGGCTGCAGGACCACGGGGCCAGGTGGGACTGAAGAAACTTAGCACTACAGTCTAAAATCATTAGTCATCGATAAACAGAAATTAGCCCCACGCTGAGATACCACTTTTTATTAAGATAGCATAATCAGAAGAACAGATAATAGCTAGTATCGGGGAGATATGGAGAAGTTGAAAATTTCATTCACTGGTAGTAGGAATGTAAAATGTGCCTGCTTTGAGAAATTGTCTGGTAGTTCCTACTGAAGTTAAACATTAACAGTTACCACATAAGACAATAAATCTGCTCCTAGGTACATAACCCCTAAATTTAAAACACATATACAAATAAAACATTGCCCATGTTCATATCAAGTATTCATTGTAGTCCGATGATAGACGCACTCAGTTATCTGTCAGTTAAAGAACTGTCACATAAAATATGGTTCAGCCAAATAATAGAATATAGGCAATAAAAAATAATTACAAGTTCATTCTATGTAAATGAACCCTAAAGATATCATGCTAAGTGAAAAAAGGAAAACAAACAAACTGGTCAGTGAGCTCCTAGGATCCACCTGCTGTCTCCACTGGAGTTACAGGGACATGCATTCATACCTTTTTTGTGTGTGTGCGTTCTGGGGATTAGAACTTAGGCCCTTGTGTATATATATCAAAAGCTCTTATCTACTGAGCCATCTCCCTAACCCCAGAATAAAGAAAAAGAAAAACAAGAAAAGAAGTTAGTTGTCAGAGACAAGGAAAGAAAGCACTCGGAAGGGACTGCCACTAAAATATATACAGTTTCTTCATGGTATATTGTAATGTCTGAAATTATATTCAGGTGGTGGCTATATAACCTTGAACATTATCAATGCAAAAAATGCATATGTAATACAGTTGCAAAAACCCAATAAATTATATACTAAATAGATAAGTTACAGGTATATGAACTGGTTCTCAATAAAACTATCAAACTATACCACGCATGGTGATGCACACCTGTAATCTAGGAATTGAGGGGCTTGAAGCAGGAAGATTCAGAATTCAAAGACACTCTATCTCAAAAAACAGAGAGGGTTAAGGAAGGAAGAAGACAGGAGGAGAAAGAGTGGCAAGAAAGAGGGGAATGTTTTGAAGAAAAAAAAAAAAGGTAGACCCAGATTAAAAGCCGTATTTTGAAAGTGTTAAGTCCTAAGTGAATGTATGTTGAAGATCCAGCTATTCCAAGGACGTTAGCGTCAATCCGTGGGAAAACAGCAAAGCCCATTGCTCCTCCACCTTGGGCAGGGGTGGCTACAGCTCAGAAGAGTGGCAAAGCTCTCTCTGCTCCATGTTCTGATTTTCTTTCTCCCTTTGGGTTTGCAGCCTGTAGACTACTCTCCTACAGAAACTGCTACTGCTAAGGTTAGGTAAACCTGCCTCCTTATTCCACTGTATATGGTAACTCTGCTCCTTTGTTTAATTGCACGCAATACCCACCTCTCTGTTCAAACTGTATATAATATATGCACTAAATTTCTGGGGTGCTGCAGCTTCTCCACCAAAGAGACCTGTCCTCCCAATCCCAGCTTGTCTGTCTGTCTGTGTTTGTCTTTTCTTCATTCCCTCACCACCCCGGTCACGTCTGTCCCTGGAGCTATGCTGGAAATGGCAACATTTGTTGTTTCTTTCTGTATGGTCAAATACTACTTTTTAATTTTCCTTTAGTGTTCTTCTATGTTTTATTAACATGTTACTTTTTACTGAATATAATACATTAATAATTCCAAAAAATTTAAAAAATTCCATAGTACAGGAGAAAGTCTAAGTCCCTAAACACGCAGAAGAGTGCATTAAATCACAGCACCAAGGGCTGTAAAGTCTGCAACCTCAACTCCAACCTTAAAAGGGAAACTTTTTAAGACAAAAGCTGAAAGCTGTACACCTTGTTTTTTTGAGACAAGGTCTCTCATTGGCACTGAGGGCTCACCAATTCAACAGGGCTGGATGGGCAGTGAGTTTCAGGGATCCTCCATCTCGACTTCCGCAGCACTAGGATTACAGACTGCTGCTACCACACCCGGCTTTCTACAAGGGTTTTGGGAATCAAACTCACGCCCTCATGCTTGTGCAGCAGACTTACCAACTAAGCTGTTTCCCCAGCACCACCTACTATGTTTGGTATTGTTGTTGCTTTGTGTGATTTTAAAATTATTGACCAGTTTGAGAACTCTATTACTGGCATAGTGAGGTCTTATCCTACACAAAATGTTTCAAAGTTAACCTACAATTAAAATATTCATGTTGTTAAAAGGACCCTTCAAAAATCTAAGTGTCCTCACAAAATAAGGCAAATTTTTCTTTGTTTAAACACCAGAACCATATTCAATGGGCCAGGATGTTCGTGGTACAACATATGTGTGAAAACCTAGATAAGCTGAACAAAGACATGGATGAAGCCTCACCTCCAGCCTATGAGTCTTTGGCTACATTCTTGTCAGTTCACATTCTAGTCACTAAAAGAGCACATGACATAACTGTGCCATTTAAAGTCACCACTGTGCCACCTGTCAACTGATCCAAGCTAGAAAATCTGTACTCCTAAGCTTCACAAAGTGGTCCTCCTCCCCTGCCCTCATGAAATAGCCTGATAAAGAAGAGAGAGAGAGAGAGAGAGATAAGCTGAGTATCTACCTTACGTAAAATGCTTAGAACCAGATTCCAGATTTTGGGGGGATTTTTGAATATTTGTGTGTAGATGATGTGGTCTCTTGGGGATTGGACCCAGATCTAAGCACGAATTTATTTATACTTTATATATTCCTCACATATATAATCTAAAGGTATACAATATTTTTAGTGTGCCTGTGTTTTTACTGCAATCCATCACATCAAGTCAGGTATGGAATTTTCCTGTCAATAGTCAAAGCATTTGAAACTCTGTGTTTTAGATTCAGATTAGTGCTATTTAACCTGTGAAAGAAAATAAATTTATACTTACTTTATGGCTTGTGCTCCTGGTCTTTGCACAATCAAAGTACTAAGGCCTTCTACTACAATGTCTACCAGCTCTGGCTTTCGGAGATTTTCTCTCAGAATAATAGACATACTTTTCAAGTGAACAAAAAGCTTCGAGGCCTCAAACTAGAGAAGATCCATAATAAAACAGAGGTGAGGATGGGGGGTACAAAGAAACAAAACAATCTTATTCACATAACTCCTTTATTCTCAAATCCAGAGATACTTTTAAAACAATCCTTCATTTACCAAAGAATCACTACAATAATCCTAAAAATTAAAAGAATATTTTTATTCATATTTTTGGAATTAAGGTAATACTCTATTTATAGACACCCAAGAAAGACCACAGAAAAAAATCAGTAACATAAAATTTCTGAAAGAATTACAGCAGGCAAATCTAACATTAAAAGATATAAAGCAAGAAAATATCTTACTGTTTTTGGCAAGGTTGGATCAACTGCTGTTTCACTATAACCAATTGCTTCATAAAGTAAAACCTTTTCTTCAGGTGTCAACATTTCTTCAAGAACTATAAATCATAAATAAGTGTTTTATGGTCTTATTACTAACAATATAAAACAAATATAATTTACCTGGCTTTATAGAAAAACCAAAATGGATTTTGTTTTATTTAGTGTGTATGTGTGTAAGTGCATGCACATAACAGTGTGTGTGGAGATCAGAGGATAATTTTAAGAAGTTGATTCTCTGCTACTACATGGGACCCAAGGATCAAATTCAGACCTCCAAATTTGAAAACAAAACCCACTCGGACATCTTGCCAGCCCACAAATTTTATTGTTATTGCATTACCTTTTACAAGTAATAACTATTAGATTCATGTTGGCAATTTTAGAAATGATTCTTAAATAAAGTAAGTTATTAACTGAAATTTTAGCAATATAATTTTTTCAGTCTCTGTATTAAGCAAGAACTTACTGGCACTATGTTAATCATTACAAAGTAGTAGATAAACTATCCTAATTTTCTCTCAATTTACAGATGGATAAAACAGATTTAGCACACCTAACGTAGCCACACTATCAAAAAGTAATAAGTCCAAGATGTATCATATGTCAAGTCCCTAGCCCTCCAAAGCTGTGATCTTCGTTATTTGGGTAAAAATCAAAAGTCTTGACTGGGTACAACAGCATGTTGTCTGTAATCCCAACTAGTCATGGTCTGAGTCAGAAAGACAGGGAGATTAAACTGAGCTATGGCAACACAGAGCGACCTCACAGCAAAACAAACAAACAAAAGCCTGTTTACTTAAAATGGTTAAGGGTTGAGGCAGCAACTCAGTGGTGCAGTGCATGCCTGAGTATAAGCAAGGTTCTTGGCTTACTCCATAGCACATACACACATACACATCCCAAAAAGAGAAGAAGAAGAAAAAATCTTTCCAAGAAGCAACGTCAAGAAAAATTTCCAGTGGCTTAAAGCATTCTGTGATTTATATTTACCTATTACCACACCACATGTGCTGCACTGAGTGCTCCCAATATAAAGCTTTTCTGCAGCATCATTATTTGAACTATTTATAAACATATATTTGAAAACAACAATCATTTTATAATTTTGATAATAAATTAAACAATTTATCACTATGAATACATACTTACTGATGGGGGAATGTCTTTCTGTATGCTGCGACTATGTGTTTCTCTGATTGGTTGATAAATAGAGCCATTTGGCCTATGGCAAGGCAGCTTAGAGGCAGGCAGGAAATTCAAAAGGAAAGACAGGAAGAAGGAGGGTGGGGGGTCACTAAGATGGGACAAGCCAGCAAGCCACCCAAGGAGCAACATGTAAGGGGACGCAGGTAAAGCCATGAAACATGTGGCAATACATAGATTAATAGTTATGGGCTAATTTAAGATATAAGAGCTACATTGCATGAGTTGGCTGTTTGAAACCTGGGGCTTATACAGGGTCGTTTGGCTTGGCCTGGGAGGAGGGGACTGGACCTGCCTGGACTGAGTCTACCAGGTTGATCTCAGTCCTCGGGGGAGGCTTTGCCCTGGAGGAGGTGGGAATAGGGGGTAAGCTGGGGGAAGGGGAGGGGGGCGGGAGGGAGGAGAACAAGGGAATTAGTGGCTGATACGTAGAACTGAATTGTATTGTAAAATAAAATAAAATTAAAAAAAAAGAATAAAACAGATAAAAAAAAAGATATAAGAGCTAGCAAAAAGCTTGAGCCATGGCCAATGCAGTTATAATTAATATAAGCCTCTGTGTGTTTACTTGGGGGACATGAGTGGGAGAGATTTGTCCCGACCACCGGCAGGCCGGGACACAGGAAAGCTTCTGGCTACAATTTTTTGAAAAACTTTATGATTATGCACTTGATGATTAACTATACTAATGTAAAATGAAAAGAACATACTTCCAGGTTTAACTTCTAGTGGTTGTTTAGCATTTGATTCTGACCAAGTCCACAGCCAGCTAAACCATCCTGCATTATCCTCTGGATCTTTTACTCCTTCTTTGTAAATCTTGTATCCAGCTTTCTTTACCTAAAATAAGCAAGTTTTCCAATAGATGACACATTATCCTCATTTTAGCAATCAAAAGAAATGGAAGGAGGATATTTCCAAAATGAATCTATTTTGAGTTGAATAAATGCACATACTAACAACATAACATGGTAACTCTAACATTTACCAAACAAGACTTTGGAATAACACATGATTCTACCTGTGGCTTAAAAAGATACAGAAATTGCAGGCAGTGGGTATTAGCTTTGCATCTACATATGAACTCTGGAATTTTCATAGGCTCAATTTTACTTAAAAATATTTTATTTTATTTAAACAAGTGTTACAAAAACTTCTATCAAATTTTTATAACACACAAAAGGCACATTTGAACTCTTCATAAAACAGTACTTTGAACAATATTAATAATATTGCCTGTCATATCAATACATTTATTTTTTGTTAATTTAATGATAATCTGAAATTACCTCAACTTCTGACTGTTGTCTAGCTATGGTTATATTAAAAACATCCAAGGTTTTCTCCAACTCCTGAAAATATAAACAAAAAAGTGTTAACTGTATAGTAATTTTACATATTCAACTTTAGAATATAAGCTACTACACTACGGAAATACGGTGGGAAACAAAAAAACAGACCACCATCAATATGTTATCTCTTACATTCTAGGATGCAATGTTTCCTTACATAAACACACACACACACACACACACACACATACAGGAGCTTGGGAAATAGAACAAAGTAACTTGTAAACAGAGTAATCATCCCTATCATGAATATAGTTATAATCTCTATAAATATAGTTAGAGATACGTTCAAAAAGATACATACATGCATTCTTTAAAATGTCTTCATCTGGGTTTTAATTACAAACAAAGGTAAACCTATCAGAACCATTTTTAATTATTAATGTAATCCTTCATCTTATATGTACAGTTTATATCATTATTAAGATATTTCAACAAGTAGGCTTACACGTACTTGAAATCTTTTAAAAACTACTCTAACTTTTCTGCTTTTTCAAACTGTACAGTCATGGACACAAAGTGAGAGGAGCTATACTTCCATCACATCTGCGCCTTCCCAGGATTACTTTCAAGTTTTAGGTTCAAACTTTTACCTCCAAACAACTATGACTGACTATTAGTCTACAAAACAGCACAACTCAGAATTGTGCTATCCAGAATTGTGCTATACTTAGAGGAATCTGGTTAAGACCATAACTAAATAAGGAAATATGAAAGCACCCAAAAGGCCTCTAGACCCAAAAATTGCTCATTACTCCTTGTCTTCAGGAAGTCTTATACCTTAAAACTGAAAGAAAAATGTAAAAATACAATCTTCAAAATTTTCCACTAGAAATTCATCTAGACTCCGAATGGCTACACCACTTTCAAGAAGCTAGTTAGCCCTGATCTGTCCAAACTATACTTTACTTGTTTGTGAAAAAAGTTCCTTTTAGACTATGCCATAAGGCTAAAAGACTAATATAAAAGTATTATAGCTCAAGGCAGATAATTAAACAGGTTGCTGATAAAGACTATAGGTACTACTAACTTAAGATACAAATTATCTGTACTGGCAAAAAATCAGGAAAGTTCACGTAAGGGTGATGAACTAAGGTGGATGTACAGAGAGAAAACAGGACAGGTGACTGAGCAGGGACATATAGGCACATATATAAGAAAGAGCTTACAAGAACGGAGAAACTCCACTAATGCACAGTAAGATGATGACAACAGAAACATAATCTACCAGATATCAACAGAGAAGTTTAAAAGTGATACAGCAATCACTTTTGAGACTTACAAAAGATATAACATGAAACTTCACATTACAGCGTATATGAACTCAAATCCTTTTGAACTGAAAAAAAAATCTAAATTTCAAAAGCTCACTAGGGAATGTCACCAGGACCTTTATTACACAGCTAAAGAGTAAAAGCACAAAACTATCCAAATAAAAGAAACAGAATATGATCAGTAAAAAGCAGACTAAGTAATTAAAAAGTAGCAGTTACAAAAAACTGGGAAGAAGGGCCATCGAGGTGGCTCAGCAGGTGAGGGTGTTTGCCACCAAGCCTGACGACCTGAACTCACATAATAGGAAGGAAAATGGGACTCCAAGTTATCCTCTGATCTCCCTTCACGCACCACAGTGAGCATGCACACACAAACACAAATATTTAAAAAAAAAAAAAGACTAAGGAGAAGTTATGCACAGCAAAGTATTCAATGATTGTTTTAAAATGCTAACCTCCAAAGACATGAGAATTTCAGGAGATGGCTTCTTACTTGTTAACTTTTTCTTATACAATTCTCTATATTGTTTCATTTTCTGTCTATGGTCTCTAATATGCTTCCATGACCACATCCGTAAACGGGGACAAACATTTACTTCAAGAATACCGTGTATAGCATAAGCCCACCTATTTAAAAAAAAAAAAAAAAAAGACCCCATACTTACACCCAAATCAACAATACCAAAACAACTGAATTTGTTTTCTCTAACATGGATAACTACAATAAGGAGACTATGGAAACAGTATTCTATCAGAACACTCTACTTACAGCAATATTCCATTAATTATTACTATATCTCCCAACATAAAAAGAAACAAAATATTCAATTTTGTTAAAAAAATTTAGCTCTGCACAACTTAAGGCATAATTGGAAAACTAGTCAATAATTATAGAAATAGTTACCTTAAAAAGCCCTACAAGTTCTAGAAACTGAACTACAACTTAAAAAACAACAAAATTTTTAAATTTAAAAATGAGGCAACATGGATAAGCCTCCCCAAACCATCTCAGTTACTAAAATTCAAGCTGAGTTAATACAGGTCTAATGAGTCAAATAGGGAAGTCTGGGGGTGAAAAAAAGACAGGGTTAGGGATGAGGGGGTGGGACACTGCGAGAAAACAAATCAAGGTAAGTTTTAATTACTTTAAAAATAATGATTCTTCTACAATACATGAAAACTACAGTATTTCAAGATTTCTAGTTGTAAATTACAGTTTGAAGAATTTCTTGAGTCAATTCACTAAAACATAAAGGGAGTAACATAAATTCCTAGCTCCAAATCAGTTTGTACCAAATCTTAGAATAGCTTTAAAAAACACGGTATATTTTGGTTTTGTGATGCAGTCTTAAGTACTGGAAATAGTAAAATTAGTTAACACTGTAGAAAACTTTCAAAACAACCAAAGCATTTACCATTCTTTAGCATGGTAGTGAAGAGGCACATCGGGCTTGAATTTTCTATATGGCAGGTTTTGTGTCATCATGTCAACTGACTCGAGAAGCTCCATGAGACTGAAATACTAGAGAAACACAGGTAAAGCTTTTCAGTGTTTCTGGGTTCCTGTTCACTATTGAAGGCAAAAGCTAAATTATTGAGTTTTTAAGGGAATGCTTATGTAATTATGAATTTCAGAAAATACAACTTTGCTTTTATCAAACAATAACTCACAATCTAAACGTCATCAAAGAAAATCACCTGTGGTTTATTAAACTCAATCACTATGGTATGTAACTCAACCTCCAGGTTTATTTTGGGGTCAGAAAAGTCAAAATCTGATCGCCGGTTCATCTGAAGTTTGGCATTAGCAGATATAGGTTGAAAAACTGGAAAATAATACAAATTAAAAAAAATTAGAGTTCTACTTCAAACATGTCCAAGCACTAAAGAGATCAATTAGAAATACTTCTTTGCATCTCTTTCACAGGCTCTCCACAGTCCCAAACACCCACACTGCTCAGAGTGTTTAGACAAACTCTTCAGAAATTAGTAGAGAAGAATTAATTTTAATTCTAGATTTAATTTAATTTTATAAGAATATCAGAAATATTAAGACTATATCATTGATTCAACTGTATGATAATTTCTCTGTAAATGTTCTCCTTTCAATTTGCATAAATAGGTGGGAGAAAATGAATTCGTCCAGAATTATCTGCTTGGATCAAATGATAGAGCAAAAGTAATAAATGTGCAGAGGGAGAGCAGTGACAGTATAATCTATACAAGGATCAACTACGGAATTATAATCTAAGTTGTATATAAAGGTAATACAATCTATGCTTGTATTAACCACCTCAAGAACATCTTTTATACATATATTAAACATAAATATTGTTAGAAAACAAATCAATACTTGAACATTATGGACCTTAAAAAAAAAAACACTGATCTGCCACCTCCCCTTCACCTTCACCTTGACTTGTCTCTTCAGTTCCAATCTTACACTGCTAAAACTAAGGTTTTTATTTATTTCTTCCTTGTTTTTAATAGATATAAACATAGAAGTTATACATATTAATGGGATCCATGTGCTGTTCTCACATATGTATACATTGCAATTATACATTGGTATAATTTAAAATTTGAATGTATTTTTCCTTACTTAAAAAATAAAAACTATTTGGGATGGGGGTTGGGGGGTTGGGAATGCTCAGCAACGCTGAGAGAGAACATCAGAACCTTTAGAGACGAAGTTACAGGCATTTGTAAGCCGCCCCACATGGGTGCTAGAATCCAAACTCCAGTCCTCATGGCTAAAGAGCAAACATTCTTAACCAGGCTAAGCCATTTCTCTAGCCTCACTTTTCAGCTTTCTAAAATACACATGTTGTTACCTATAATCAGTCTACTGTGGAAAAGCACTCCAGAACCTTTTGCTTCAACTAAATGTAACTTCATACCCAATGATGATCCTTTCTTCATTTCTTCTCCAATTCTACTCTCTTATCAATTATTATCAACCATTCCCTCAACAAGTTTGCCCTTCATACTATATCAGTACTTGCTCAGCAAAAACCAACTCCACACATGGACCTAACAGCACATGTGGCTAGAAAAGAAAAGATCACAAAACAATCATATTCACTATTCTCACCTTAATACTGTAAATATTAAGTGAATTCTTAATGCGACGGGGGAAGGGGGAAATCACACAGCACTCCCTGTGCCTATGCTTACCCTGCTAAAGACCCATCTTCAATTTTTAAATTTTGGTTTATGGTTGACTTATTTGTTTCTATTGGCAATGACCAAATAAATCATAGCACAGCCTGTTCTTGATGGCCAGTTAGCCAAGAATGAATTTTCCACTTTTAAAGGGTTGTTTCAAAGAAACATAGGGGATATGTGTCAGATTATCTATGGCCTTCAAAATGTAAAATATCTGACGACATGGCCCTTTAGTGTCTCTAACCTACTCTAGGCCCAATGGTTTTCAAACCTGAGAACTCATCAGAATCACCTGTAGAACTTATTATACTCTCTAGTGCCAAGCCTCACACGAGAGTCAGATGCAAAAGGCCCTTGAGAGGCCTAGAAATGTGCATTTCAAACAACCTTCCAAGTGATGATAATGCTGCTAGTTTGAAGCATACTTCAAAAACAATGCTGGATTCAGTCCACACTTCTACACCACTATTTCATAGTTTCTTCAAATGCCTTCAGTACCTAAGATGTTTTAAAAATGCCATGCATACATAATCTGAAGAAAACTCCATTAACTCCTATTAACATCTCTATTGATCCAGTCAATGCCAAGACTCTTCTCTTACAACAAAACTGTCTTAAAGATGAACTGATTATGTCCTGTCCCTAAAAAAACAAACAAAAAAAAAAAAAAAAAAAACTCTACATTTATATAACATATGCCAAACCCTTCTCCCACATCAATCCAGAAATTCTCCCAAATATCTTGAATCACTAATTTTTCATGTTCTCCTTGATCATTCCTAGCTCAGCATATAAATAAGTATTATTTCTCCCATTAACTAGAAGGAAAGGAAAGGAGAAGATGTAGAATGCAAAGAGGAATAACCCAGACCAGTCCTCCTTGCCTCCCTACAAGTATGCAGCTATCAACTTATGAACATCAAATTCACTTTTCAATGCTTGCTTTAAAAAGGAAAACAAGCCGGGCGGTGGTGGCGCACGCCTTTAATCCCAGCACTCGGGAGACAGAGCCAGGCGGATCTCTGTGAGTTCGAGGCCAGCCTGGGCTACCAAGTGAGTTCCAGGAAAGGCGCAAAGCTACACAGAGAAACCCTGTCTCGAAAAACCAAAAAAAAAAAAAAAAAAAAAAAAAAAGGAAAACAAAACAAACAGTTTTAGGGCACTAGTATTTTAGTATTTTTTTTCCCTTTACCAGCAGGTCTAATGCTATGTTAAGAGAATCAACCGGAAGAGTTACACTGTCAAGAACCCCAGTGTACTCAATTAACAGGCTTCTACAGAGGCAAAGTTCACTAACACCTAGCCCTGATATAAGATGGCTTCTCTGGCTTCTGGTTCCTACTGCACAAAGGACTTCTTCAGCATCAGCCTTTTGTACTGCACAGCAGCCAAGACAGTCCTGTCCTACATTGAGCATAGACAGGAAAATGCATCTTCATGAGACTCAGTTAGAGTTGGATTTCTAACAAGTTTTGCTAACATAACAGTACAGAGACATTCTGAACCTCAACAATGTTCATGTCGTTTTCAATATGGTCTGGGTTTTAGTCCCGGCCAGGCAGAGAGTCTTCTTTAGAAACTTATCCTTAGCTCAAACATAGGGTTCATTCCTTTCATACTATTCCTACATCTGCATTCTTTCTACTTTTCACCAGCCAATCCTGTAATTCCAATCACCTTTTACAGTTATTAATTATATTCTTTCTTCAGTACTCTAATATACAGAAAATATAAGTCAAATCTAAATATATTTGAGAATCATAAACATGTTAGTTATCTGACCTCATATTTTCTCTGAGAAAGAATTAAGAATAAAAACAACTTCAAAATAATGAAAATAAGATTTTGGCACAAAGGACTGGGCATGTAGCTTAGTAACAAAGTGACTGCCTGGGATCAATCCCCAGCACTGTAAACAAAAAACAAAGACAATAACAAAACCACCAGAGCTGGCAGAAGTGCCAGTTGGGGAAATTGTGAAAAGGTTTAAGAGCACACATAGCACATAGGAGTACATAAAGGATATGTATTTCATGGATGCCAGGGAAACTCTGAAGGATATTCTATGCCTTAAATGTCAGGAAGCCAAATTCAAGAACTTAATTAAGCATCAACAATTGACATTGAGTATTCTCAAGGCTAAAAATGTTTTTTAAAATCATTCCTTTCTTCTGTATTTTAGTAATTACCTTGTCATTATAAAATGAATATGTAGGCCAGACACATAGGTGCATGCCTTTGACCCCAGCACTTGGGAGGAAGAGGCAGGAGGAGCTATCATCTGTGCACTTGACACCAGCCTGAACTACACAATGAGTTCCAGGACAGCCAGGACTACATAGTGGGGGCTGGGGACTGGGAGTAATATATGCTCACTTAAAATAACTGAATAGTAAAAGAACAAAATTTTAAGTGAGATATGGTAGTTCCTGCCTTTAATCTCAGCATTTGGGTAAGGCAGGAAGATTGACATAAGTTTGAGGCAAGCCTGGGCTACTGAATGAGACCATCTCAGGAAAAAAAAATTATTTGGACACTTTATAAACAGAAAGATCATACCACTACGGCTATACCACCTAGCTATAGTAAACTGCACTTGTGATTCTGAAGTGTTTTGGTAAATATCACTATAATTGATACTGAATAATCCTTAATTTTTAATACAATACATTAACATTCTTTTTTGTCAAACATTTTTCCTGTAGTTTTGAAATGTAACCAAAAATTCCAACAATAAAATATGTTGAAAAGATAAGTATATTTTAAATTCATATATATATATATAAAAATACACACACACGTAACTAGGAGAAAATTTAATATAAAATAATCTAGTATATCAACAATGTTAACATAATAGTTTGTACTAATTTTGCTAATTATATTTTTATTTTATCTAATAACTTACCAAAATCATAACCTTCTGGAACAATATTTTCATTGACAATACCATTTTTCAAGGCTTCCTATTAAAAGATAAATTGTTTTATTTATATTTATGCAAATATACTTTCATCCTACAAATTTATATTATCTACAAGAGTATTTAAGAGCAACTGAAAAATAAATGATTCACACCTCATCAGGATAAAATTTTAAAATGGCTAAGCAATGTATCATTAACTATTATGAAAAAATGTTCCAGTTAATTCTGTTTCTAAAAATCCTACTGGACTTTGTTTAGAAGTAATACTGATTCTAAGGATGGATTATTGACTGGGAGTTAAATATTATATAAAATATGATACAACAAGTATACACACAAATATTTACTTACCAATGATTCATCATAATCATTCAGATAATACATCTGAGACTTCGGATTCCAGTAAGCAAAGAGATTATCTAACCGGATTAGCTGAAATTAAATCAAGTTTATTACATGTCTGTTAATTTTTTTTAATGAAATTTTAACTTTTACTATGCTCAGAAGTCTCAAGTAATTGAGTCTTACCCTAAATAAAGCAAATAGACATAATTCACATAAATGTTTGCACACACGCACACACACCAAAAAAACATCATCATCATCATCATCATCATCACCATCATCATCATCATCATCATCAGTCTTTCCAAAATGCTCTTTCATCGAATCCATGGGTTAGAATTTATTTTACCTTCCGAACTAGTTTCTCAGTTTCATCATGTAAACATGGAATCCAGTTTTGATCAGTTGTCTGATGAGGAAAGAAAAAAGAAAAAAAAGAAAACCAGACCATTATATACATAATAAGTAATTCATTATCTACCATACCCTAGGACCAATTTCTCATGAAAATGCCTTTGAAAACATATCATTTAGTCAAAAATACTATTATCAAACCACTAACCCTTTGCTTTCAAGGAACTCATTGGTCAAAAACAAGCAAAAATAAGCAAGTTCAAACAGGTAATTTTGGAGGTCCAATATACAGTAGATAGAACATGGCAAAAAAAAAAATCAAACTCAGAGGTGTGCAAGATATAATGACTAACCTAAAATAGTATGCTTGTTGAAAGGATTACAAAAAGAACAGCTTTATGATCACAATAGTCTATACACCATGAATAAAAATTACTCATTGCATGGTTATGTGGTTGATATATTGTGCACCCCGATAAACTTATCTGGGGGTCAGAGAACAGAACAGCCACTATATTAAACATAGAGGTTAGGCAGTGGTAGCACACGCCTTTAATCCTAGCATTCCAGAGGCAGAGATCCATGCGGATCTCTGTGAGTTCAAGGCCACACTGGAAACAGCCAGGCATGGTGACACACACCATTAATCTCAGCACTTGAGATCTCATGTTTTGGTTGGGAAAGATACACGTCTTTAATCCCAAGAAGTAATGGCAGGAGGCAGAAAGGTATATAAGGCGTAAGAACCAGGAACTAGAGGCTTTTAAGCTTTTAGGTTTTTAGCAGCAGGTCAGCTGAGACACATTTGGATGAGGACTCAGAGGCTTCCATTTAAAGGAAACAGGATCAGCTGAGAAGTTGGTGAGGTGAGGTTAGCTGTGGCTTGTTCTGTCTCTGATCTTTCAGATTTTACCCCAATAGCTGGCACCGGGTTTGTTTTTCATTAATAAGACTATTTAAGATTCATGTTACAAGGTTATGATTCCAGGCAGGAATATATAGCTTGGTTTGTTTGCTTGTTTTGATTTGATTTGTTGTTTTTTATAAAGGCCCAAGGCATGGCCAGAGAACAAATCACAGGAAGAAAAGAGGAAAAACCAAATATGTTACCTAGGGTCAGATTTTAAAGGTTTTATACACAATATAAAGACAAGACTACATATTTTAAACTAAGGGTAATCAAAGTCACTGAGAACAAGACCAGGTGTATAATAAAGAATACTCATCAAGGAATGCTGCAGAAGCATTCAAACCAAAACCAAAACCAAACAAAACACTTAAAATTTTTAAAAATAAAAAATTGGAAATACAGTAATCAAATCTTTATTTGCATATGAATTTTTCTTTCCAAAAAAGGTCCGGATATGTAGCCCAAAGGGACTCAGACTCATAATACTACCTCAGCTTCCAGAATGCTGGGATAACAGCTCTGTGCTACCACTCCTCACCAGATTCTTGATTTTGGAAAGATGGTTCACACTGCTATGTGAAGAAATGACAGCTAGTATGGCTCCCAAACTTTAGCAATGAAGTATGATCACCAAGAGTGACTTTTAAAGCATAGATTTCACACTGGAGATGTGGTTCGGTGGTAGACTGCTTACCTAATACACCAAGATCCAGCATTGCAAAAACTAATAGTAATAAACATGCAAACACACATATACCAGGATGGCAACCCAAGAGTTTGTAACTCTATGAGTCTGGTATGGCAGACAAGTTTCCAGGAACCTCTAAAGGTAACAATTAAAGCTACTGTTTGTAGGGTTTCAGAGAAGATTCGGTGGTTAGAAACAAGTATGACTCTTGGAAAGGACCAGGGTTCAGTTCCCAGCACCCACATGGTGACTCACAATCACCTGTTACTCTAGTTCCAAAGGATCCAATACTCCCTTCTGACTCCTGTTGGCTCCTGTCATGTGCATATGGTACACATAAATACAATCAGGCACACAGAAGTGCTGTGGGATGTTCTGTATGTTAAATGTGTTGCTCTGATTAGTTAATAAATAAAACACTGATTGGCCAGTAGCCAGGAAGGAAGTATAGGCGGGACAAGGAGAGAGGAGAATTCTGGGAAGTGGAAGGCTGAGGGAGAGAGACGCTACCAGCCGCCGCCATGAAAAGCGAGATGTAAGGTACCGGTAAGCTATGAGCCACGTGGCAACTTATAGACTAATAGATATGGGTTAATTTAAGATATAAGAACTAGGTAACAAGAAGCCTGCTGTAGCCATACAGTTTGTAAGCAATATAAGTCTCTGTGTGTTTACTCAGTTGGGTCTAAGCAGCTGTGGGACTGGTGGGTGAGAGAGATTTGTCCTGTGGGCCAGGCAGGACTGGAGAAAATTCCAGCTACACAGAAGTACACATAAAGTATTTTAAATAAATAAAATCACTGTTGTTATTGTAGCAATGATTTTCATATTACCAAATATAAATAGTAATTCTCTACAACTTTCAATCTGCCAGCAGCACTGACAACAGAAACCATCCACTTTTACTGAGTAATCTCTGACTTCTCCCACCCCCTCCACTCCCTTTTCTTTTTCACTTGCAGAACCATGTTTTAAAAATAAACTATACACAACTGGGCAGTGGTGGTGCACGCCTTTAATCCCAGCACTTGGGAGGCAGAGGCATGCAGATCTCTGTGAGTTCGAGACCCGCCTGGGCTACAGAGTGAGTTCCAGGAAAGGCACAAAGCTACACAGACAAACCCTTGTCTCGAAAAACCAAAAAATTAAAAATAAAAAATAAACCACACACAAAATCAAATAGAAGATATAATACTGAACTGGAGTTAAGTTGAATTGTACTATATGCAGCTGCAAAGATAAAAGTGAAAAACACAGAAAAATGAAAAAGGTGACTTATAGAAGAATCATATAAAATATCTAAATCAACTTTAAAAAACAATCACCAGTTTCAGAGGTGAACCCCTACTTACTCAATTCCAATCCAGTCTGATAGCTTCCTAGACCAGTTCTACACAGCCAACCAAACACATACCTAGGATATTTCTGATGCTGACATAATCATAATCATATACCCAACTATACTACACAACTAAAAAAGTTACATTTCCTTTTTGAACAAGGTACCTGCATGCTGAGATTTTGAAGGGAAATACCAAATGAGAGTGGTTTGTCTTGATTTGTGATCTAAAGAAAAACAAAGTAAATTACTTAGGTGGATTATTAGTTAGACAAAATTCACTTTATAGAAAAAGTCAAATATCTGAGAAGGATCTTATTTCAAATATTCAAAAACATTTTCAGAATAATTTTTGTTCTATTTTTTCTAAAAACAAATTGCTAAACATTAATGTATTAATGTTGCATAGAATACTATATTTGTAGAATGTTTTTAAATTTATAAAAACATAATAAAAATTGATACAGTAATCTGTTTAAAATGGGAGTGAAACTGAGTTGTGTTTCAGAGTAGGAAAAGTCAGGAGAAAGACAAAGTGCAGCCCTGCTTCGCTTTAATCTGAAACTTTGGATAATCCTTTACTACAGAGAGATATTTGACTCTTGTATGAAGTGCCCCAGTCTCAGCACCAGACTACAGCCAAGCAAACCCAGGAATTCAGCACCATCACCTGCACAGGCACAGTCCAAAAGGCCCTGCCCCTTCCTGAGATGGACTGAAACTTAACTGAGACAGCCAATGCGTTCAGCACCAACTTTTCCCAGAAAGAAAAAATGTTCTATTTTTATATAAATTCTCCAGCAATGTGTTTAAAAATAACAACCTCTATGCACTTTAGAATATAAAATAACAGTAAATGCTTTAGGCTCAAAGACCTACCTACTTTGAGAATTTTTACAGACTTGCTCTTCCCATGTATTTACTGTTTTTTGTTTTGTTTCAATCTCAGGTTCTTCGGTCATCTTTTAAGCAGCATCTGGAAGCTCTATCAAATCCACAGATGTTGAATGCCTCTCAAAAGTGTGGCAGCATTATTTCATCAAACTTGTATTATGGGCATAACTTTATTTTAAAGGGGAAAAGATATGTATACACTCAGAAGATTTATGTGTATTTCCATTGTAAAAATTCAACTTTTTGTTAAGTTGAATTGTTAAAAAATATTTTTGAAGCTAAGGAGGCTCTTTAAAGGAGTTGTTTCTTCAAAGAACCAAGATCAAGCCAGGTTAATGACATAATTCTCTATGGCACATGTACTAATTAGAGTTGTGCCTTTTCTACCACACAGGATTAGATAAACTTATCAGAAGTAGGCTTTTGAAAAATGATAGAGTAACATTTAAAGTCAATGAGATGGTTATCTTTTATTGTGAACTTGACACGATCTAGAATCATCTGAGCAAAGTGGTCTCAATGAGAACTGTAAAGATCAGGCTGATTTATGGGCATGTCTGGGAGGATAGGGTGATTGGGGGAATGGCAGTCTTGATGATGTTAACTGATATGCGGAGGCCCAGCCCTTGGTGGGTGGCATCATTTCCTGGGTTTGGGTCCTGTGCTGCTTAGGAGTGGCCAAAGCAAGCTGAGAACAGGCCTGCAGACTCATTCTGTCTCTGCTCTGAATGCAGATGTGACTCTCGGCTTCACGTTCCTGCCCTGATTTTCTGCACTGATGGACCGTGACCTGGATTATAGCCAGTAAACCATTTCTCCCTTAAAGATGCTTTTGTCGCGGTATTTTATCATAGCAATAGAAATACCAAAAACTAGAACAGAAACTAATTACATATTTAAGAAAACAATAAACTATTGAAGAGCAAAAATTAAGTTAGCTCTACTTATTCCTAAACCAGTACTCTTTCCTGGAGGTTAAAAAAAATAAATAAACAAAAAAAATCTGTGAAATTCATTAACTCTCAAGACATTGCCTTCATAACCCAAAGTTTGAATACTTAAGCAAAGTATAATCAAGCACTCATTAAAAATGTAACCATAAAAAGAAAAGATCTTATGGTCTTCAGCTCTCTGTCCTTCCATCTCCCAGTATTGACTAGGCTGGCCATTACAGAGCAAAAGCCAGTCACAGTAAAATACATACTTGAGGAAAAAATACTTACATCATCTTCATAACGAACATGGATATTGGAAATTTTCACTTGAAGGTTTTTTATGATTTGAGTAATTAATTTTTCTGTAAAAGTGTCCTGTTTCTCCTCCAGAGGATTTTCTAAAATTGCAAATATTCCTTTTTAAATTGAATAAAACACATGCCCTATAAATATCCATATTTATAGTATAAGTATATTAAAGTAACATAATGCTTTGATAAAGAAAATGTATAACATTTTAAATAAATCACTTGAGGATTCCAAAATCTCTCATACCAAAGGATTTTCAAAAACAACTAAATGCACAATGTTTAAAAGCTAGTTTCTTATCTCAAAAGACTAGAGCCAACTATGTTAAGTTCACTGGTATTAAATTTTATAACCAGGTTGTAAGGGCCAGAGGACAAGGATATCTGCCAGGAGACAGTGTCTTCTATAAACGTCAAATACTGCAGCCATAAAAATCATAACAATATGGTTGCCTAAACAAAACCTGCACAATGACAACACCAGTTAATGTGTCAACAACATGGACAGGGGAAAATTCAGAAGGCCCTAGATGAAGAGCTACAGACAAAAAAATGCCTGGTAAGAAAGGGAGAATCAGCCTTTTCCAGGGACAAGCCTCATGAAAGGTTATCTAATCTCAAGAGGTCAGCCCTCAACACATGTACATCAGAGTGACACTAAATGGATTCAGCAGATTGAATTTATATATACACATGTACACACAAACACATACACTAATAATGATGCTGATGATGACGATAATTAAGAGGTGGTCATGAATTTGAGAGGGAGTAGAAGCAACATAAGAAGAGCAGAAGGAAGGTGTGGAACATGTGGAAATGATGTTTAAAGTCTTTGTTTTATACATTTATTTATTTGAAAATTTCATACATGAACTATGTATCATTTCCATCCATTCTCTCAAAGCTTAAAAACACTCCATAGCTCTCTATTTCAGGCAGACCTTGCCTTCAATTTTAGAAGTAAAGCTATAGGAAGATAACTCCTCTGTCACCATCACTTGATTCCAACTACTTTTAAGGTAACCAATGACCCAAATGTCAAAAATAAAGTGATAATCATCATCTTAACTGATATCCCATCGGGGTCTGGTATATTATTTGCTTCTTAATATAGCCTCTTTCCCATGAAATCATAAACTTCAACTTTCCTCCTTCTATCTACCCATCCTTTTTAACGGTCTTTTGTGTGTCTTTCTCCTCTACTTAATCATTAGATGACAGGTTTCCTTAAAACTCAATCTTCTCATTCTATACTGTTGCTACAGAGAATCTCATTCACATCCTAAAATATTTAACTGTTACCCTAATGTTGAGAACTTTCAAAACAATATTGAATAAAGGAAAAAGTAAAATGCAGAGTGGGGAGAATCTGACACATTTAGTAAATAACCAAGAAGTCAATATGGCTAGGAGAAAGAATGCAATAGGATTTGGAGTCAGTTATGAAGGAGGGAAAGTAGACAGCACTCCAGCATGAGCTTTTAATCTATCTTGTTGAAGCACTTAAAACTTCATCCTGGTAACAAGGTGTCACCAGTGAATTTTATATATTAGTATTTTGGATCTAAGAACAAATAAGTTCTCATTAAACATGGTTTATATTGCATGCATTTCCCTTTTTCAGTTAAGACCTCATTAAAGCAAAATAAAGGAATGTAAATGAAAAAAATAAAAAACCAGGTAAACCCCAAAGCCAGAAGGTAAAAGACTTGGGGAAAAGCAACAAAAAACAGATGGCTTCAGACAAGCTGAAGAAGAAACTTAAACCCTAAACAACCCAGGATGGTGCTGTTATTGAATCATAAGGTAAGGATTTAAACCCAGGATTCTGAAAGATTCCTGGACCTGAAATCACACAGAACAGACACAGCAATCAGGGAGCATCCTTAAAAGAAGAGGGGACTCGGGAGGCAGAGCCAGGCGGATCTCTGTGAGTTCGAGGCCAGCCTGGGCTACCAAGTGAGTTCCAGGAAAGGCGCAAAGCTACACAGAGAAACCCTGTCTCGAAAAACCAAAAAAAAAAAAAAAAAAAAAAAGAAGAGGGGATGTTACAAGAGTTAGTTAAGACCACTGTGCTTTTCCAAAGTCCCCAAATTCAATGCCCAAACCCACGTTAGCTCACAACTGTCTGTAACTATAGTTGCAGAGGATCTGATTCAATCTTCTGACATAGGCAGGTACCACGCATGCAAATCATGCACAGACATACAGGCAGACAAAATACCCCTACACATAAAATTTAAATTTAAAAAAGAATTGTTTTAAAATATATATAATAAGCAGTCAAATGTATAGGACTCCACCCTTTCCCAGCCCAATGGCTAAGAAACTATCCTTTGTTGTTCAGCCTACTGAACATGTAAGAGTTTATCAGAGGTAAAACAGACCTAACAGGCTCCAAAATCTGATAAGCAGTACATAGGGAACAGGATGAGCCTACACAAAGACAGAAGTAATTAAAAGGCTTTATAATGAAGTCACATCTGTATTCACTCACTAAATAAATAACAAAGTTATGGTTTTTAAAATTTTATTTGTCACGCAGGGTGGCACACACCTTTAATCCCAGCACTCAAGAGGCAAAGGCAAGCAAATCTATATGAGATACAGACCAGCCATGCTGGTGGCCACATCAGAGGAGCACAGGTAGCAATTGAAGTTCAAGGTATCAGTCCACCAGGAGGGAACTCTCTGATAGGTCAACCTCGGTTAGGCAAGGTCACAAGACCACAGACCCTGGAATGTCTTTTGCTTGTGCTGTGCCTTTACATGTTTACTGTGGCCATCTTTCTCTGGTATCTGGCATGGTGTGAATGGGTGTGAAGAAATCCCCACTGCCTGTAATGTAGTGTGTTTATCTCATGGAAACATCCCATTCTACTGGACATTTTTATCTGTGGGTTGTCATGAAGATGATTCATCCCTAGATTATACTATCTAATTGATAATAATAATGATAGCTTATACAGAGTTTTGATAAATAAAAATAAATACAAGGAAATGTTATACCATTAAGGCCTATGAGTTTTACAGCTAAGGCTTACAAGCTTCACCTAAAGAGCTGCTTTAAATCACCATTCAGGTTAATGACTAAGGAAAACAACTGAGTCCACAGGATCCAAGCTGGCTCTAATTCTTTTTATGCTGAAAAGATGCAGTCTCAAGTTTCGGTGTGCACCATTAGCTGAAACAAACCTTCAAAATAACTTCAGGTTAGACCAGATTCTTTGATAATAGTTTTAAAATGAATAACCCCAGAAAACAATCTAAAGTTCACAAGGACACATAGTTGAGTTATAGATTCATTAGGCTAGAGTCAAAAATACAGAACAGCTTGACTGTTCCTCGCTGACATACTTGCCTTGCTAGGTCTGGTGGAAAATCAAAGGTCATGATTAATTCCTTGCACCCATTCCTGACTTCAATTTTCTGATACAAGAAACAATTGATAAATGGGTACATATCCTGAAGATTCAAAGTTCAGCTAACTAACTGTTTTTCTGTATAAAAGTTTAGGTTTGTGACTCCTTTAAAATTTCTTACAAGATTACCTTTCAAGATAGGTAATAGATTGATTCTTTCTTTGTAACTGCAATATGTATCCTGTCAACAAAATAGTTGGCTGTGAAAAAAATGTTCCTTGCTTGCTCATGTTCTATTAATCTGTAATAAGTTACTTAGATGTATTATATATGGGTTATTGGGATGACTCTGTTTTTAATCATGTAAGGGAGATGAAAAACATGTTTTAACCTATATTCACTATAATCATTCACTTGAAAAATGGAATGTAACTACACTGTAATTCCTTTACTGCCTGAAAGACTTTATTGGGGTATATAAGCTGCAAAGCGAGAGAGGAAGAAGAGAGAATAAAGAAGGAAACCATCAAGATAGCATGTGAGTATCTTTTTCCCTAACTCCTTAGATAGAAAAGTCTAGTGTACACCAACACTGTGGATTCCTTTCAAGCCCTGGGCTGTCTGGAGGCTGGTACCCCAGGTGGCAATACAGCCAGAGATATATAGTAAGACCCTGTCTGTCTGTGTGTCTGTGTCTGTCTGTCTGTCTGTCTCTTTCTCTCTCTCTCTCACACACACACACATACACACACACACACACAAACGTGTGTGTGTGTGTGTATGTGTGTGTATCTATATATATTAAAATATATTTTGTTAGAGTTGAATATCTGGCTCAGTAGGAAACATTCATATCATTTGGACAATTGTCATAGTTCAACATCAAAGGAAGTATGAACATGTAACATAAGCTTAACTTAATGAAACTGTGAATATCTTATTCAGCAATATGTTATTCTCTAGGGAATGGGTAAAGGGATTAGTGCAGACTTTGTTTTTATAAAGTATAAGTCCTATAATACTATTTTACTTTTAAATCTATGTATATGTATTATTTTTTTTGTTTTTTTTTTTTTTTTTTGGTTTTTCGAGACAGGGTTTCTCTGTGTAGCTTTGCGCCTTTCCTGGAACTCACTCGGTAGTCCAGGCTGGCCTCGAACTCACAGAGATCCGCCTGGCTCTGCCTCCCGAGTGCTGGGATTAAAGGCGTGCGCCACCACCGCCCGGTTGTATTATTTTGACAAAATAATTTTTAAAGGAAAAGGCCTGGCAGACTTAGGAAAGGGAGGATTAGAGAAGAGATAAATGACTACACAGACTATGAAGGAAATATGACAAGAAAGTAAAATTACATGTGATATTCCCACAGGTTGTATTACGTTTCTATTAATGTTTGCCACAAGGTAAAACATGTATTACTGGAGTTTATTTTTCATTTAAAAAAAAAAAAAGAGAGAGGAAGGAAGACACCTACAACCCCAGCACTAAGAAAGCAAAGGCAAAAAGACCATGAGTTCAAGGCCAACCTGGGCTACAAAGTAGATTCCAGGCCAGGCTTGGCCACACAGCAAGATTTTTTTCTCATTAAAAAAGAAAAGAAAAGAAAAAGAAAGCTACCCTTTTCTCACCACCAAAAAACAATACAAATGAGTGCATGGTAAAGAACTAAGTATATTCAAGAGTAGATAATAGATATAAGGGGGCTACAAAGGCAAAGTCTAGAAAGATAAGAAGATATACTTGATAAACTTGCTAATATTAAAATATGACTTTACCTCACCAGCAACTATTATTTGCCTTAATTTCTGCAAGGTAATTTCAGCAAACATAACAAAACAAACAAACCATATAGCTTTCCAGGTAATAAGATGATTTCCTAGCCGGGCGGTGGTGGCGCACGCCTTTAATCCCAGCACTCGGGAGGCAGAGCCAGGCAGATCTCTGTGAGTTCGAGGCCAGCCTGGGCTACCAAGTGAGTTCCAGGAAAAGGCGCAAAGCTACACAGAGAAACCCTGTCTCGAAAAACAAAAAAAAACAAAAAAAAAAAAAAAAAAAAAAAAAGATGATTTCCTGCTTGTAACATAATCTCAGAACCAGGCAATGGTGTTGCATGCCTTTAATCCCAGAACTCAGGAAGCAGAGGCATGAAGATCTCTTGTGAATTAGAGGCCAGCCTGATCTACTGAGTTAGTTCCAAGGACAGACAAGGCTACACAAAGAAACCCTATCTTGAAAAAACAAACAAAAACAAAAACAAAACAAACAAAAAACCATAACCTCAGTACATCTAGTAGAAAACAATATTCTGTTACAATATCTACATCCTTTATTATCACTGTTTACTGGTATTTTACCTTGATCAACTACTTTCTGTTTTGCTTCTTCTATTCTTTTTAGTTCCTGTTGCTTTGCTTCCATTAGTTGCTTTTCTTCTTTGATGGGATCATATTTTATTCCTACAGAAAACATGAAAAAAATTTCAATTACCTTAAATTTAAATATACTTGAAAATAATCACTAATTCAAATAAAATTTAGTGAGATCTAAACAAAAAAAGCAATTTTATTTGAAATCTAAAAATCCCAAATTAAAATCCTAAATTATCTTCATCAAAAGTACTTGGAATAAAAATGTATAAAGATTTTTCTATCTAAAAATAAGAATAAATTATAAATTTTAAATGACTTACTAGAAGAAGGCACTATCAGTAAATAGATTTCTTCCAAAACAGCTTCAACTGGTTGAGTATAAAGGTTTTTCCATGGAATTTTAAGTTTAAGACTACCTACATTAAAATAATGAAGACAAGAATACTGTTCATTAAACATACATCTACCAATCTACTTTCTATAAAGCTTTAGAAGAAATCTTTCAAAAATCAGTAAAACAAGCAATAGTGTCAGGGAACCCATACAGTCCTATAAAATTGACTACATCTATATAACTCATTTAAAATGGGTACTTTTTCATTCAACAAATACATCATGAAATATACTAAGTGGTAAAAACACAATAAAAGAAACATATACAAATAAAAGAATGACAGAAACTACGTGAAAAAGTATACAAATAATACCTTAGTGGATTCTGTTTGTCTAGTGAACTTTCTAGTACCTAAAAATTAACTTATTGTCATTTTTTAAAAAGGAAAAACAAAAGAAGGCAACCTTTAAAGAAAATGGGTCTATCTACTCTTCTTATATGTGTGTACAAATATAAAATACTTTGCTATGGGACGGTCTTTCTGTATGCTGTGAATATGTGTTGCTCCCATTGGTTAATAAATAAAGCTACTTTGGCCTATAGTAAGGCAGGATAAGAGCCAGGAGGGAAATCCAAGAGAGATACAGAGAGAAGAAGGGTGGAGTCAGGGCAGACACCATCCAGGTGCCCAAGAAACAAGATGTGAACAGACTGGTAATGCTGTGGCCACATGGCAAAATAAAAACTAATAGAAATGAGTTAACTTAAGATGTTAGCGCTAGCTAGCAATAAGCCTGAGCCATAGACCAAAACGTTTGTAATTAATATTAAGCCTCTGAGTGATTATTTTATAAGCTGCTGCTGGCCAAGCAGGACACAGAAAAGTTTCATTCTACAATACTTGTTTTTATATAGTTTTGTACGATCGTGCTGGGATCAATCCTGTGATGATTAATACTCATTGTCAATGTGACAGGATTTACAATCACCTATGAAACTATAAGTGCCCATGAGGACATTTCTAGAGAGGTTTAACAGAAGATGAAAGACCTATTCTGAAGGTGAGCAATACAATGTCAGAGGCTAGAGTCCCACACTGGATAACAAAAAGAAAGAGAGCTGGCACCAGCATTTCTCTCTCCTTCCGCACTACACACAAAATGACAAGCCACCTCACTTTCTTGCTGCCATCCCTTCCCTATTATGATGAGCTGCACCTTCAAGCAGAAACAAATAAACCCTTCCTTCAGTTGCTTGTATCAGGCACTTTGTCATAGCAATGAGAAAAGTAACTAGTGAAACTCTCAGTACTCCTGGTATATTTTTAAATTTTTCTTGAATTGAAATGGTGTTCTTTTTCATATAAAGCTTTCTGTACTTCTGGTCAATATTCTCCAAACAGTTATTCACCATAAACAATTTAAAATACAAATTCTGTTCTATAAAGTAACATAGTGGGCTAAGAAGTTTTCTGCTTGTTTTCTAGTTTTAGCCTTGGACATATTTTAGGAATCTGAACTCTGCTTTCAGGATGCTTAAGGCTACTTAGTTAGTGGTCAATTCTACACACAAAGGCCTTATACTTATATGGTAAAATGTATACAGTTCACCATTTAAGTAGGTTACATTGACATACAATGAGATTCAACTATAATCAGTGTAAAATTAAAGTGACTTCTGGCCAATGTCTAAAAGCAACATACAAGAAATTTATTATAAGACTGTTTTACAATATAATAATATTATTCCACCCAACTAAGTATTCCTCAGATTGTGTTACAGTAAAGAAGTCAAATCAACTTAAGATTATGAAAATTTTTTACACTGGTTACAAGTCTTTAAAAAATTACCAATCCAAACTATCAGAAACATGCAATAATTAAGATGTCAGAAGGGAAATATCTTGTAGTATTTTCCAATTCTTACTTAAGCTAAACTTTCTTTACAGGGACAAGACAGAATTTAGATTCTAAAAATGTCAAATAAAAATTTCCTGTGGTATATGGTCTAATAACAACTGTAAGTACAATATACAAAATTGTAAAGACTATCATCATAAAATTTTTATGTAAGCTTTGAGAATGTCCATTTTTCAGACATTATCACAGCTTCAGTAACACTATATAAATCCTACTATAGGAAGAGACAGACAGACAGACAGATTCAATTTAAGACACTATGATCTCAATCAACCTTTATGACACTTAAATAAATGCACAACAGCATAAATTAAGAATCCTAAGAGACAACTTTATTAAACATGCTAAATTCTTACATTTAGTTTGTTTCTGATCTACCAACACATGAACTGCTTTAAATTCATACTGTATTTATTTAAAATTCATACTTTAATGAATTACAAACATGGGTAAAATAATTGAAAACAAACAAAAAGCACTTTATTTTCCAGAGTAAGAAACCTGAAACAATTTCTACAGCACAATCAAGGTTTGATTTTCATCCATAGCTACAGTGTTTGGATGATCAAAACCCTTTATGTTATATATCTTGTACTTATTACATACTAGCAAACATAACTAATCAGAAATATAGAAACTAACACAGTTCCTGCTTTGACTCTCAACTCAACTTTAAGACCTACTAAAATGAGCAATTACTGTTCAAGTATTACATTTACCCACAATATTTTTAAGTCATACAACTAAGTTCTACATAAACAAAAACACACAAATATTATATTTTAAATTAATGCTCATAAGCATTAGGAAGATTACATTACAGCAATAATAGTTTAATTACTTAGGTTGCATGTCCAACAAGGAGAACATTCCAGTGGTAAATATGGCTTACCTATATGACCAACCTTAACTTTGAATGGTACATCCAGTTCACTCTATAAAGAAAAGTAAATTTGTAAATAATAATAATAATTATAATAATAATAAATCCATATAAGGATAATTATTTTCTTCCTAAAATCACTTATGGGTATTTTAATTACCTTGCATACTCTTTTTATCTTCAGCATTCACTTAAATTTAATGGTTTATTTACAGAAAGCCTCTCTTTTCAAAGTAAATGGTTAGGTATATACTTACTTAAGTAATACTGAACAGATAGCTTTTTATAGAAATTAATACTTCATTTCACAAAATTGGCATTTTACATAATAATAATTTCAAAACTGTTTTCCTTGTCTTTAGGAAAAGAACAGCTCTTACAATAACTGGTGCTGGGGAACGTGGATAGCCAATAGTAAAAATAGGAAGTTGAGTCTTTGTACTATACCATATGTAAAACTCAACATGAATCAAAACTAAACAGAAAATCTAAAACTTTATAGTTTAGAGAAGTGGTTCTTAACCTGTGGGTCACAACCCCTTTGGGAGTTGAACACCCTTTCACGGGAGGCACCTAAAACCATTGGAAATATCACGTATTTACATTATGACTCATAACATAAAATTACAGTATTAAGTAGCAATGAAAATAATTTTATGGTTGGGGGTCACCACAACATGAGGAACTGTATTAAAGGGTCACAGCATTAGGAAAGTTGAGACCACTGGTTTAGAGGAAAACACTCCCATGAACTGTAGACTAATAGCTATGGAGCCCCATAGGACTAGACTAGGCCCTGTGGATACAGGAGACAGTTGTTTAGCTCGAACTGTTTAGGGGACAGCCAGGCAGGGCGATCGGGATCCATCCCTGGTGCATGGGCAGGCTTTTTGGAGCCCAGTGCCTATGGTGGGACACCTTGCACAGTGTTGGTGCAGTGGGGAGGGGCTTGGACCTGTGAGTGTGCCAGGATCTGCTGACTCCCCATGGGAGACCTTGATTTGGAAAATGTGGGGATGGGGGGTGGCTTGGGAGGGAAGACTGGGGGGTGGGAAGAGGGAAGGGGTGGGATTTGTGGTTGGTAGGTAAAGTGAATAGAAAATTTTTTAATAAAGGAAAATAATAGAGAAAAACACAAGAAAAAAATCTTCATGACAGATATCATGGAAATGAAAACAAAAACAAAACAAAACTACACTGTCAGTTTCTATCTTTAAGAATTTAGATCTATGTTGCAAAGTTCATATTTTATGAAAATAGCTTTCAAAATTTTTTTCATAGGTAAGTAAATTTAAGGTGGCATGTTAAATTAGGTATGAGTGTATTTAAATATACTCATGTAAAGTTTCATAGACAAGACCTACCAATGCATTTTCTTTAATTTGAAGGTTCTTGAGGGCCACAGCTCCTAAAAGAAAGAAAGAAAGAAAGAAAGAAAGAAAGAAAGAAAGAAAGAAAGAAAGAAAGAAAGAAAGAAAACAATATATTCAACTGTATTTCACTTTTAAATATGCTTCATTTTAAATACAACACCAGAGAAAAATAATTGTCATAACAGAAAATAGAATTTATTTTTACTAGCCCATGTTCATTCTTCTGTACAGTCTAAGAAGATCTGACAGGAGAATCTCTTGCCTACCACCAGCCTAGATGAAAAACACTCCAGACCTCCAGACTACATGATATTCAAAAGAAAAAAATGGCAGAAAGCAATAGGGAAGGATGCCTGATACCCTCTTCTCTTCTCTGAGCGCGCGCACGCGCGCGCGCGCGCGCACACACACACACACACACACACACACACACACAGAGAATACACACATATACACAACATGAACTCACAGAATGCTATGACATAGAATGTAATAGTAAAATGAAAACACAAACTTACTCTCTATCACTTTAATTAAACACAAACAGGTTAGCAGGGAGCAAACGTCTGTAAATCTAGCACTTTGGAGGCCAGAAGCTGAGGTACCAATAAACAGCAAGTACAAGATCAGTGAGATACACAGTGAGAACCAGACTCAAAATAGTAAAGGCTGAAATAGAGCTTTGTGGTAGAGCACTTGCTCAACATGCACAACTCCCTGGGTTCAAGCCCTCTGCAACAGACATAAATTGGCAGAGTGGAGTCTAGTGAATGGATAAGCAGTGTCCAATAATATGCTGTTAAAGACTGTCTCTAACTCTTAAGTGCACACATTAAGTTAAAAATCAAAATCATAGGAAAAAAATTCTAAGCTGATAATCAAAACACAAAGACAAGTAGGGAATATGATTCAGCAAATCCACATCTAGGCATGTAACCAATGTATCTGAAAACATGGATGAAAAGAGAAATAGTCGCATTCATAGCAGTATTATTCCAAAAGAGCAACTCACCTATTCATCAACAGATGGAAGAAAACACACACACACACACACACACACACACACACACACACTCACACTCTCACGGGCAAGGATAATATTATTCATTTTTAAAAATGATTTGAATTCATGCTACAACATAGAAAAACTGTAAGGACACATTGTCTAATGAAAGAAGCCAGTAAAAAACAGGACAAATAGACAGCAGAGTATGAGTTATTACTGTTTAATTGTAGATGTAACCAACCGTCTTATTAAATAAGAAACACAGAGCCGATTCAGAGAAGAAAGCCAAGAGGTCAGAGCTAAGAGCCTCACCCTTCCTGCTTCAGCGATCCTCTTCAGTCAGGAGAGCTCTCCAAAAGGGACCTACTTCCTGTGTGTATATCTTTATATAGTCTAGCTGTTCTGCCTTCTCATTGGTTGTAAACCCAAACACCTGACTGCCTCGTCACTGCCTGTATGTACAGCCCTCCAGGTCCTCTATGGTATTGAGATTAAAGGCATGCGCCACCACCGCCACGCACTTGCTATGGCTCTAATAGTTCTGACCCCTGGGTAACTTTATTTATTAACATACAATTAAAATCACATTTCAGTACAAGTAAAATACCACCACACTTAATGGATACTGTTTGACTTGTCCTACAAGTAGATGGATCTGAATGCTGTAACACATTGTGAATTTAGTGACACTGAGGTATACATATGTAAGATTGTTAAGGACATAAATATTGAGACTATTATGGTGGAATATACCTTTGATCCCAGTACTTGGGATGCAGTATCTTCAAGCCACCCTGCCTAACATAGTAAGTTTTAGGACAGCCAGAGCTTTAAGTGAGATGCCTCCAAAAAATAAAATAAAATAAAATAAGGAAGGAAGGAAACAAAAGCATGTGTGTGTATGTTTTTCCCTATATAGTGCATATATATATATAGTACATACGCTATATACTGTATCTATATATAGTGCATATATATTTATATATATACACATATATATAGTGCATCTCTGTAATTTTTCAAATGGGGCAGGGATCTGAAAGAAAACTGAAAACTCCCAGATGAATAAAAATTAACAGGAAATGCTGCCAGTAGACTCATTTAAAGGGAATGCTAAAAAAAGGGGGGGAGGGTTAAGAGAAATGGAAGATTAAAGAAGTAATGAGGATAAAATCAAATATTTTATTTGTATTGTTCTTAAATAAGCTAATGGAAAGTTGTTTGTTCTGAACATTAACAGTAACAATGCACTGGCTCACTCTGCAGGTGCAATGAAAGCACAATGTTTCTAGAAGAAACTGTATTGTCTGTTACCCATGAAGCAGTAAAGGGTCATCTGAACAGACTTAGACTAGATTTAAGTGAATACTACAAACTCTAAGTGTGGTTGATATATTTGTGCACCCCGATAAACTTATCTGGGGGTCAGAAAACAGAACAGCCATAATAATAAACATAGAGGTTAGGCAGTGGTAGCATACGCCTTTACTCCTAGCATTCCAGAGGCAGAGAATCCATCTGGATCTCTGTGAGTTTAAAGCCACACTGGAAACAGCCAGGAATGGTGACTCATGCCTTTAATCCCAGGAAGTGATGGCAGAAAGGTATATAAGGCATAAAAACCAGGAACTAGATCTAGTTAAGCTTTTAGGTTTTGAGCAGCAGTTCAGCTGAGATCTACTCTGGATTAGGACTCAGAGGCTTCCAGTCTGAGGAAACAAGGATCAGCTGAGGAATTGGCAAGGTGAGGTGGCTGTGGCTTGTTCTGCTTTTCTAATCTTCCAGCATTCACCCTAATACCTGGCTCCAGGTTTGTTTCTATTAATAAGACCTTTTAAGATTCGTGCTACATCTAAGTGCTGTAAGATGTTCTGTATGCTATGAATATGTGTTGCTCTGATTGGTTGATAAATAAAACGTTTATTGGCCAGTAGTCAGGCAGGAAGTATAGGCGGGATAAGCAGACAAGGAGAATTCTGAGAAGAGGAAGGCTAAGTCAGGAGATGCCAGCCCACTGTCCAGGGAGCAGCATGCAATGGCACACAGGTAAAGCCACGGAACATGTGGTGACATACAGATTAACAGAAATGGGCTGAGTTTAAGTCTAAGAGCTAGTCAGTAGTAAGTGAGCCTGAACTAATGGCCGAGTAGTTTTAATATACTAATATAAGCCTCTGTGTGTTTACTTGGATCTGAACAGTTGCAGACTGGGTGGCGCACAGAAAAACTTTCAGCTACATCTAAGACGATTTTTTAAAGTATAATTACTATGCAAGAAAAAATAAAATTTATATGAAATGCTCAATGAAAACCCGAGAGGGCAGAAAACTTTTCTTTTTAAGAAACAGGTCCAACAAATAGAAAATAGTTAGAATATGACAGATAACACCAAAAGGCTCAAAAAGTTTTTTCTTGCATTCAACATATAACCCTCTACAACGAAATGTATCATGAGTTTCCTATGCAAACATCATGCAATTCTTTAGCAAACATCAAATGGGTATCCTAGAATTCAATCCCATGTCAATATTTTATATCTAAATTTTTATATCTAATACTTTATATCTAAAAATAGAGATGATTCCACAAATTAAAGAGTCTAGTCAACATAAAAATACTCATCATTTCTACACTAACCATAGGTCCACGGTTATGACCTATGTGACCCCATAGGTTCATATATTTGAATGCATGGTCATTAGGGAGTGGTGCTGCTCTTCCTGCTGCCTGGTGATCCAAATGTAGAACTCTTAGCTACCTTTCCAGCACCATGTCAGCCTGCATGCTGCCATGCTTCCTGCCATGACAATGAACTAAACCTCTGAAACTGTAAAAGACAGCCCCAATTAAATGTTTTCCTTTATAAGACTTGCCATGGTCATAGTGTCTCTTCACAGCAATAGAACACTGACTAAGATAGAAGTTGGTACCAGGGACTGGAGTATTGTGTGAGATAGGCCTGACCATGCTTTTGTTTGGAGGAATATTGAACATGTTCAGACTTTGGACTAGAAAAACAAGTAGACACTTTAAGTGGAGTTTAATGAGCCATCCTAAGCACCATGGGCCTAGGGCCTAGGGACATCCTAGTAGTAGCATAAAAGACAGTGGTACTGACAGCAATGTAGACTATGATGGCCCAGCATCAAGCAACTGAACTTAGCAGCTTCAGCCGCATGGTTCTGGCTTCAGAGTCAAGGATACAAGAAAGAGGTTGTAGAATCTCCCTCTATGACTAAGGAAAGCCGCTGAGGCCAGACATGTGTCAGGCGTGTCCCTACATAGAGGCACAGAGAGACCATTGTGTGAAGTTCTGAAGGTGAAGCCTGGATTGTCTTGGAGACCCCAAGATCCTGGGAATGCCAGACTCATAGGATACCTGCTGAGGAAAGCTGCTAACAGGCAGTGGAATCAGCCCCAAAGAGAAAAGTGTGTTGCAGTCAACAAAGCTAAAAAAGAGCTGGAGATCTGAAGAGCACTTTGACATCAGACTTGGAGATGCAGAGTTTGGAGTTTGCAGTTTGCCCAGCTGGATTTTAGTCTTGCTTTGGTCACAGTGCTCCTACATCCTCTCTGGATATGCCACAAGTGCACCAACTTCATCTCTTTAGGAGTGTAGAAGCTCATCAAGTTACCCTACGAGTTTTTACAGTTAGAATACCAAGACCATACCTTTCCTAGAGGCTGATAAGTGGGACTGGAGGTTCCAATTTTCTAATATTCTAACTATGTGGTCTTTCTGGTGATTGGTCCATTCTGGGGCCTATCTAGGGACCCTTCCTTGTCACCTCAATAGCATAAATTAAAACTACCAAAGGGACTCATCATGAATAACAAAAATTAATCCTGTCATAGGAAAATGCATGAATATAGGAACTCTGCAACATGAACCACAGACAAACATCAAATACATATCACACAATATAGGTATAAACCCATTAATCCAACCACATCAACAGTAAATTTAGATGTAACTTGGAAAGTTGAACAAAAAAATGCCAAAGTGAATAAAAAAAACCCTCAAATTTA